TTCAGTACTTGCCGTGCAGGGGCAGATCCCGCGAGCTCTGCCCGACCCAGATTTGAAAGTCGCCGTCCGGCATGACCCAATTCTGTTGGCGAGCACTCCAGTAACTGAGATCCTTGCGGTTTAGAGTCATTGCAACCGTCTTCTTCTCGCCCGGCTGTAGGGCAACCTTGGTGAAGTTACGCAGAACCCTGTCCGGAAATTCGACCCGTTCTTTATCGCGCACAAAGGTCACCCTCTCCCCCTTGTCGTCCACTGGCACCTCTACCAAGTCGCCGTCTTCCACTACGTCCGATGGGAATGACACGTAGGCTTGGACCACGGTCTGACCAGCGCGGGTGCCTGTGTTAGCGACTTGCACTTGTACTTTAGCCATTTCTTCATATAGTGACGGATTTCCACCAAGGCCGCCTCCTGCTTCGGACGGCTGTTGTGGCAAGTCGTAACCGTCCGGGTAGTGTGTATAATTTGCTGCAGCCGTACCGTCCAGCGATGGCAGATACGAATAGATGTACTTGGCCAGCGCGTGGAAACCTTCCGGGAAAAGCACGTTTTCGTTTACGGGTGGATGAGCATCATACTTTGGCGGGGAAGCTTGGTCTTGCGGTCGCGACTTTGGCAGTCGGGACTTCCATTGCATCGACTTAATGGACAGCCTGGACAGCTCGAAAGTGGTGTAGGAGAGACCAAAGCCGAACTCATATCGTGGCGTAATGTTAAATTTGTCGAAGTACCGGTAGTCAATGTACAGTGCGTCTAAGAAGTCAACTTGCGGCACCGTCGCATTGTTCTCATATAGCACCTGTGCCCCTGGCCCGTAGTCCTCCAGGCTCTTTCCAACCGTATACGGTAGTCGTCCGCTCGCGTCAACGTCGCCAAACAGAACATCCACTAGTGCATTGCCGCTTTCTTGACCGGGCAGATGGGCAAAGAGCACCGCATCCACGCCTGGGAGATCAATCCATGACTCCACGACGACCGGACCAACGGCGTGAATAACCACCACGGTCGGACCTCGACAGTTTTTAGCCACAGCTTGAATCAGGGTGTCGCCTCCCTTCTGCAAGAATAAATCATTACGATCACCGTGAATGCCCCCAGCAGAGATATATCCCTCGCCAGAGTTTGCGTTGGCGAACACGAGGCACAAGTCTTTATCTTGGACATCCACTGGCATCACCATATTCTGCAGATATGGCGTTATATTGACGTCGGCTTCCCAAGCATCCTGCAAAGCCTCCAGGGGACTCACAAGGAAAGGAAATTCCACAGTCCCACTGCCCCAACCCGACGCCAATGTCCCCTGACTGCATCCACGATCCGGGCACGCATTCGGTCCTAAGGCCGGGCCAGCATCGTCACCATAGATCCCAATGTGATAAGGACTCGGCGGGCTACGGGTCAGCGGCAGAGTGTTATTGTTGTTCTTCACGAGGACGATGCCTTCTGCTGCTACTTTTCTCGCGATCTCCCCGTGCCCTGCGCCAGCATCCACGTACTTGTTAACAACACCCCATCCCCCATCCAGATCGTTTGCCTCGGCGCTAGCGTGTTGCCACCAACCGGTCTGGTCATCCGTCCAGGAGGAAAAGTTGGGACCGCCCTCACCGTCTGGCGGTGGCCGTTCCCATTGGTCCTGTCCGAGATGGTACCATGCCGCCACGATACGGGTCACCATGTCATTCAATCGCTCCATGGGGACGGACGTGTTCAGCACAGCACGCGTCAGTTCGCTGCCCCACAGGGACTTTCCGTCCGCCCAGTGCAAGCCGTCGCCGGGCATGCTCATGTCGAGCCCACCCAAAGCACTGTTGATACCCGATCGCTGAGCCAGCCAGTCGGACTGCACAAACCCCTGGAATCCCAGCTCGTCCTTGAGGATACCGTTCAGGAGTTTGCTGTTTTCGCAGGCGTGGCTGTTGTTCACCATCTGGTATGCGCACATGACGCTGGCCACATCCGCGCGGATACTCTCCGCAAAAGGCCAAGCAAACACCTCGTGCAAGGCACGATCGCCCACGTTCGATGAAAGCGCGGTCGGAATTCCCCATTCAAAGGGTTGTCGAAAGTGTTCCTGCTCGTTCATCACGAAGTGTTTGGCGGTAGCCATGACGCCGTTACTCTGAATGCCCTTGATCGTCTCCGCCGCAGCAACTCCTTGCAGCACGGGGTCAGAACCGAAAGCCTCCCAGTTTCGTCCACCTGCGGGCATCATTCCGAGAGGTCCCATTGACGGTCCGAGAAGGACATTGACGCCCTTCAAGCGTGCCTCCAGCCCTAGCGCAATCCCTCGTTCCCGGATTAGGTCGCGATTCCAGGTGGCTCCCGTAGTCAAACCAGGAGGAAAGGCTGAAATGTGATCCGCATATCGTATTCCCATCGGACCGTCTTGTAAACACAGAGACGGGAAGTGAACGGATTTGGCCGGCCCTAGGCATGTAAGTAAACGGTTTCGCACAGAAGGGCATACAACAGACATACCCGTATTACCCACACAGAGGCCCATTCTCCAACCAGTCCCAGTCGTGATATTGACTTTCTCGATGAGGGTCATGCTCCCAACCAACAACGCCGCTTTCTGATAATCCGTTTCCCATTCCTTTAAGGTCCCGCCCCGTGGAGTAGGAAACCATGATTCCGCCGGAATCATTGACTGTGACTTGTCAGCATACCCCACCTTATCCCCGCGATTGTTTTATAGACGACAGTAAGACAACATACATAATCCAAGTCCTCCCCAGCCCGCCTCGATCTCGCAAGGCTCAGGAATATCAACACCAGGAGGACCAAGACCACCACAACACCAATGAATATGCGCCACCAATATCTCGAGTAATAGACCGTCCGCCAACCTGTCCGACGACCGCCTGTCCGTTGTAGTAACCCCTGCCTCTGCCCCCTTTTCACCCCGTATCCATCCGAATCATCATCATCGTCATCCTCGACGTCATACTGTCGACTTGCCGAGAGCAGCTCCTGCTCTGCCTCGGTTATACTGTCTAGGTACGCTTCGACGTCGCCAGACTTTCGCACGACGGGCACATAGGCGGTCGTTGCATTACTGCGGGCTCCGTTGCGGTCTACACGACGGAGTTTAATGTCGGAGTCATCCTCGCCATCAGAGGGGTCGGAGAGGGGAAGGGAGTCAGCGTCCGAGCCGTAATCTTTGTTGTTGAACTCTTCGGGGATCGATTCGTGCAACGGAGTGTACCGCTGAGAGCTCTTGGCGGATGATGGTGTGTCCCGGAAAGGGGGAGGCGGCATGATGTTTACGCGCGAGGAAGCATGGAGAAACGAGTGTAGGAAGAAAAAAGTAAGCCAGCGTTAACCAGTCGTCGGTGCGTCACCTCCACATGTTCGAGGAAAAGGAGAAACGGCGTGCAGTGTGTGCCACCAGAAATAGTAATGATTGTTCATTGCCGCCAAACGGGCCAGACCCGGAATGGGCCAATCAGAGGGCGGACATGTCGGAGCTTACGCCATGAGGGCCGATCCGCTTGGTTCGTTTGATTGCGATGTGTAATTGTATTCGACGAAGATGTCCGGTATTCTTGTGGACAGCATCAGGAAGGTATCAGGGAAAAGAAGAAGAGAAAAGCCGGGGAAAGCAGTTGCAAGTGTTGGAGACATCACGCTTACTCCTTTGGGTCATCCGCAGCCTAAACTTGTTTGGTCCTAGTGTAGGCGAATTAGGTCTGGTGCATGTTGGACCCTGAATACTAACAACAACTACTATGCCCATTGCATTTTAGACCGCCGTCGAACAACAGCTGGAGTCTTGTTCAAAAGCAATTAATCCCGCTTTCCTTGCTGGTACTTATTCGCTGACCTTTCTTTCTTTTGTATAACATGGTAGTGTTGTTGTTGAGCGTCGGTCAACGCTTTGTGAAGCCCTCCTAGGATCATCCTCACGAGGTCTTTTTGCCTCTCATCTGGGGATCCTTAGCCTGTTTAGTTTGTTCTTGGGCTTTCCTGATAGCTAGTCGTTAGGCCGTTCGGGTTCTCTTCTCTGCCTGAGGCTCCTTGCCTCTTGCTATTTTTGAGCGCGCCGAGCTACAAGCGCTGTCTCTCCTTCGGCCTTCTGAAACTCAGCCACAGCAGGGGCGATAGCTGATCGCTTGAACGAGAGCTCAGCTTGACAAGAAAGCTTCAATTATCTTGTATGAATTGCTTAGATTGTTCGAACAGCCGAGTTGTACGGCCAGTCCAAGAACCTCAGCGATTCGAACAATCCACGTACTTCAAGCGGATCCTGGATGAGTACCCCTGACACACTGAGCATCATCCACCGTACCTGATGGAGGCCATCCGATCTGATCAGCCGGCCACTGCAGCCAGACCCGTTGTTGCTCATTGAAGGGCCGGTAGATCTCGCCCATCACATGTTCTGGCCGGCCGTTACGGGGTTTCCGATGAGCTCGGCGGGAACGTGTTGTCCGTTTGGAGTCTGCCCTTACCTTCATCGTCTATAAGCAGGACATCTCACGGAAAAGGGCTCGAGAGGAGGAATGTTGTGAACCAGGTCCAAGGCTTGGAAAGGATTATATGTAGTATAGCCAATAGAGATCGCCGGTGTGATCATTGGTGTGTGGTGACAGTTTGCGATCTTATATGTGTAAATCAGCAGCAAGCGTTCACGTATAACATGCTGTTAACTTCCAATCCGGGAAATAAGCATAGAGCTAGCGGGATACACGATCATTCTCTGATGACGCCTGAGCTTTGACACGGTATTCAACTTATGCTTAGGGCTTGATGGTGGGGTTGCCGGATAGGGAATTTATTCGTATTCGGGCCCTACCAAACACCTTTCCCTTTCTAGCGAAGGCCCGCTTCGACCCAAGCAGATGTATAGTATCCAAGTGACAAGAAAATGGGTCCGTGGGAAAATAATCCCATAATATGTATGAGGTCAGGGGTGGTATTGATCTTAGGCAGACGTATCCGAGCATAAATAAGCCCCCCTTATCCCATGAAGAATGCTTCAACCATCATCACCCATCATGTTTCACCTCATCGCTCTGATCCTGGCAGCTTCCCAGCTAATCACCGCGCTAGAATGCAAATGCGTAAGTGATCCCTCTCTCAATACCACTCACGTAGGAAAAATTCTCACACAGGCTAGTCACCCTCTGACCCCTGCTGGCCATCCAACATAGAATGGGCATCCCTCAACGAAACACTCTTGGGCCACCTTATTCACACCGTCCCCCTAGCCGCAGTATGCTACCAGACTGAGCCTGTCTATAATGCTGAAGCCTGCAATGCTGTTATCGCAAATTGGACAAGTTCCGCCTTGCATTCTGCTGATCCGGCTAGTATCGATGACCCCATGTGGGCGAATAACAGCTGCAACCCCATATATCCAAACGGAACGAGTCTCACAGGTAATACCCGGGCCGGGGAGAAGGGCTGTTCAATTGGAAACTATCCCCCGTATGTCGTGAACGCAACGGAGGCTGGTCATGTGCAGGCTGCGCTGAAGTTTGCACGGCGGTGGAACTTGCGGTTGAATATCAAAAACACTGGACATGGTTCTGAAAGAAGGTACGTTTATTGTAGTCTGTACATTGGGATATTCTATTTTGATGTCTTTCCCTGCTGTCTGATTCAGATTGGCTAACTTGACTTGCTTTTAGCACGGCCCATGGAAGCTTGTCGTGCGTGAAGCTCATCCATCCAATGAGAGAAACACGCCTGGTTAACGTTTTTGTAGCATCTGGACTCATAATCTGAAACAAATCCAATTCCATGAGACGTTCCAGCCTCAGTCATGCGAGACTCAAACAGGGGTAAACGAAAGTCAAATGGCAGTCACTCTCGGCGCAGGTGTACAAGATGGAGAGCTATTTAAAGCAATGGCGAAGCACAACGCCATCGCGGTGGGCGGAACCAATGCTGTAAGATAAACTGCTAGTGCCTCGAATCCAAGCTCACAAGAATGCATAGGATGTTGGTGTCGTGGGATGGGCGACGGGTGGTGGCCATGGCCTGGCCACCGGCAACTATGGCATGGGAGCCGACAATATCATCGAGGCCGTCCTGGTAACGCCCGGAGGCGAATTGGTAACGGCCAATGCTTGTCAGAACAAAGATCTCTTCTGGGCCATCCGCGGAGGCGGTGGAGGGACATTTGGGGTTATACTCAGTTGTTACCCTGAAAGCGTACCCAATGCCATCGGTGACCCTCGTCGATCTGTCAATGTCAGCCAAGAATGGAACTCGTCCTTCGAGCTGGTATAGGTTTGTTGCCCGGGCCCACGGGTACTTGGACCTCTTGCAAGAAGCCGGCGTTCATGGGTACTATACGATGGGTGGAGGGCTCCTGGTACTGCAGGGTGCTTTGCTTCTATATGACGCCGATAATGGAACAGTGGGGGACCTTCTTGCACCTATGCGAAGGTTCTTTGAGGCTTCCAATGAAACAGCTACTTCGAGCCTCACGCCGGTTGCCACATTGCCGTGGTATGAACTTGTCAAGATGATGCCCGCTATCGAATCAGTAGGCACAAAGCAAAGCGCCAGAACATCGCGGTTCATCCCACAGAGGGTAGTCAATAATGATATTGAATTATTTGCGAAGACTCTAGAGGCGATCACCTCGGGACCTCTGATTGTGAGTACTAGTTTTAACTCCGCCTTTTCTTTTTCTTTTTTTCTTTTTATTTTTATTTTCAAGACTTCCAGCTGAGACGACAACCACATAGGATGGAGTCTCGACTCCTTCGATTTCCGGAACCATGACCGGTAGCAGGACACCCGTTGACAATGCACTTAACCCTGCCTGGCGAGACGCTGTTGTGCATATCATCACGTCGCAAAGCTGGGACGAATCCCTACCTCCCGCTGTGGCTGACCAGGTAATTCACAATATGACCTACCAGAAAGGCTATGTATTGCGACAGCTTGCGCCTGATACGGGTGCTTACTTCAATGAGGTGAGACTACAAGGTGTCTATCTACTTGCGTATGCATCCGTCGCTGATGAGTATATTTCTTATGTAGGCAAACGCAGACGAGCCAAATTGGCAGTGGTCCTTTTTCGGCTCTGGCTATGCTAGACTTCAAGCGATTAAGCAGAAGTATGATCCAGAGGGTCTGCTCTGGTGTCGTCAGTGTGTTGGGAGCGAGGCATGGACGGAACAGCAGGATGGGAGGCTCTGTCGTGCGGTTTAAAGGGTCGGGTTGAAAGGATAACTTTTAAAGTTGTTCTGATTTATCCTCATCGCTAATTGTAAATTTTATCTGCTGTGTTAGTGGTGGGATCGTACTATCATAATCCTGACGCTATAGAGGTACATAGCTTAGTTCAATAGCCCCTAAGCAACAAGGCCCGAAAATGCTGTAACCAGATAAATATATACCCTTCCACTACGCCAGTGCTAGTATGAGTTCTAAGTCGTGTACAATTGCTCCTTTTCATATTGCTCAAGTTAATTTATGATTGAACTAGGCCCTAAAACCATCATACTGATAGGCCCCAGATAGGGCATGACTAACAACACTGATGCACATAACCTTGATGCTTGTTTGGAACTAGACAAAGGAAATTAAGAAATCAAATGCTCCATGGTATAATCATACAAATCATAACGCAATTACAGCTTGGACACCTGGCCCGCTGACGAGATCTCGTTGTACAACAAGCTGGTCAAGAAATCCGCGTAATCCTCGCCCGTCACCTGGCCGGCGAAGTAGCGGGCTGCCAGGTGGTACTTGTTGCCCTTGGGGCCCTTCTCCGCCAGGCTGTCGGCCTGCTCCTTCAACAAGCGCAGCGCATAGGCCTTGTCGACCTTCTTGCCCTCGGATGTGGTGACGCCGTGGTGGGTCCATTGCCAGAGCTGACTGCGAGACACTTCGGCGGTGGCAGCGTCCTCCTATTCGGGGTTAGTCTGATATTCCTTGAGAGCCTGCAGAGAAGGGGAAGGAAAACGCACCATAAGGTAGTTGATCGGAATACATCCGACTCCACGGAGCCAGCCCTCCATGTACGAAAGACCGATGTTCAGGTTCTTCCGGATGCCCTCCTCGGTGATCTTGCCGGGCACGTTGGTGTTCAAGAGATCGTTGGCGGTGACATGAGCGTCCTCACGGCGCACGAAGAGCTGGTTGGGAGTGGGCATGTGCTTGTTGAATACGTCGGAGGCGATCGCGGCGAGAGCCGGGTGCGCGACCCAGGTTCCGTCGTGACCAGCACGAACCTCACGCAGCTTGTCGGCGCGCACGCTCTCCATAGCCTTGTCGTTGGCAGCCTGGTTATCCTTGATGGGGATCTGAGCGGCCATACCACCCTGTTTCAATTAGCATGCTTCGCGCATGGATTGCCGTTACTAGGGGTGCTTACCATAGCGTGAACACCACGACGGTGGCAAGTCTTGATCAACAGTCTCACATAGGCATCCATGAAAGGCACAGTCATGGTAACGTCCGAGCGATCGGGAAGGACAAAGTTGGGGTGCTTGCGGAATTTCTTGATGAAGGAGAAGATGTAGTCCCAGCGACCGCAGTTCAGTCCGGAGCTGTGTTCACGGAGTTCGTAGATGATCTCGTCCATCTCGAAGGCAGCGCTGATGGTCTCGATCAAGACAGTACCACGGATGGTTCCGCGAGGCATGCCGATGTAGTCCTGAGCCAGGTTGAAGACGTCGTTCCACAGTCTGGCCTCCAGGTGGGACTCCATCTTGGGAAGATAGAAGTACGGTCCGAACCCGCGAGCCACCAGCTCCTTGGCGTTGTGGAAGAAGTAGAGACCGAAATCGAACAAACTACCGGAGATCGGCTCTCCGTTGACGGTGAAGTGCTTCTCGTCCAGGTGCCAGCCACGGGCACGGGCGATCAAAGTGGGGAGAGTGCGGTCGGTGCGCAGCTTGTATTCCTTGTTGCCCTGCTTGAAGTCGATCTGGCGACGGATGGCATCGTACAAGTTGACCTGACCGTTGATCATGTTCTCCCAGGTTGGGGCGCTGGAGTCTATTTCCACCGTCAGCGTGTCTTCCACCAAGACGTCCCCGCGAAAAACATACCCTCAAAATCCGCCATGTAGGTCCAAACGTCGGCGTTCAGCGCATTCACCACCATCTTGCGGTCCGTGGGGCCGGTAATTTCCACGCGACGGTCGACGAGACCGGGCGCGGGAGGAGCACCCTTCCAGGCGTCATTCTCACGGATGTGCTTGGTCTCGGGGAGGAAGTCGAGGAGGTTACCCTTGTCGAGCTCGGCCTGGCGATCGATGCGGCGCTGGAGAAGAGCTTTACGGGTTGGGTTGAAGGTACGGTGGAGGATAGCCAGGAAGGCGCAAGCTTCCTTGGTGAGGATCTTGCGGGCGTCGTTGGGGATGGCGCCCAGGATGGCGACATCCTTGAGCTGCACGTCGATTTGGCTCATGATGGTAATCCTTGTTCTTGTTTTAGTTTTATACCTAACGAACAAGTGTACGAAGACAGATTGGAAACAGACAAAGGAGAAACAGGAAGCGTCCGAGGTACGACCAACGGGTATATAAGTACAATCGGCTGGAGCAATGGAGCACTACGTCAGGACCATGGACAACCGCGGCTAAAGATGGGAACTCTGGGTTCAACCTGATAGGCAGGAGCTCCAATTGGAACGGTAACGCAGTGTATTGTATTTCAGCATGCTCCAGTCTCTCAGGAGTGCCCATTCGATGGTGAATGGACCTGCGATAGGCCCGGAACCAGTCACTGGCCACCGTCGCATCTCGATATCGGCCAGGATGAGCGGAAACTTCCTAATCGGGATGCCGTTTGGAGAGCTGCCAGCTGCATCCCGTGACTTTGCCGCGGAGAGTCGGTATGGGGCCCGGTAATACCGATACACGACCAGGCCTGTCTGACAGCGTCTGTCGCTCTCGGCCGATAATTCCCCACGTCCGTTTCGATCCCCTCACCCGGGGGCCGCCGTATACCGATAAGCTCTTTATCGATATTAGAACACAAGATGACTACTACTCTATACTTATATCCGCCTCGCTACTGCGACCGGCCAGAATCTACGGGATGTGCCAATTCTCTGGCTGCTTTGGCTATCCGTCTTTACCGAGTCCAGTCGATCATGACCACGACCGTACGGTTTGGTACTGTTTTCCAGGCGACTCACTTCTAGCTCGCAGGAACTACCGAGGGAAAAAGATAATAAACTCCCCGCACATCCGAGTCTTCCACTCACAACCGCGGCCCTCCCGATCGTCACCATGATTTGTTGCAACCACGAAAAGGTCCATGGGTCTGGCCTCAGGCTACCGATTGATTCCGATATGGTCGCGCGACGATAAGATAACCTAATTGCGCCAACCTTATAGGACGGAGTCACGGCATGGAAAATATATCTTTCGGTTCGGTCTCCCAACACGATGGGTATCAAGACTCCGACCGGATCAGGAGTTAAGACTCCAGTGCCAGGAAGTAGTCCTCAACTATACTACCATACTACCATACTACAGAGTAACCTGTGTTTGGGACTGAAATTAATTGTTTTGTCCCTTTCGCCCAACGTGAGAGAATGGCATGTGATCCTCTGAGCATGTGATGTTGTAGCTTGTGAATCATCATCTTCACTCCCGGTTGTCGGGAGTCCAAGGATCGGGATGACACGGGCAGTCAAATACTGCTGTGCTCTGGTTGATCCAAAAGTCTCCCCGAGAGTTCTGAGCTCTGCAGAGCACAGACAACGCTAAAAATGAATTCATTGGTATCTAATAACTCTATGTCATATCCGCCAGCCGGGGCAAAGTCTAGACCGTTTCAATATATCGCCGCACCTCCCTAGAGCATGGTCAGTACACAGCGAAGACTAGATGAATGCAAACATCCAAACATACCAATCAGTGACGGCTTCTTCCCACAGGCGCACTTCATGTTCCCGGGTGCCACCAAAATGGTCGACGAAAGCATCCCCAAACACCTCCCGTGCGACACTGCCCTCGCGCGTAAACGCGGCGACCGCTTCCTTGAGGGACTTGGCCAGACGCACCCCCTGGTCGCTGCCACCCCCCATCTCCTCACCTTTAGATAGCGGGGGTACAGGGATCTCCAGCTTCTTCTCCACGCCCCGCCATCCCAATGCGACAATAGCCGCCATGACATAATGCGGATTGGCATCTGCTCCAGGAACTCGCACTTCTAACCGGGTGGCCTTGGGGCTACCTGTCGGCGGTGTAATCAATCGAATAGAGGCCGCCCGATGCTCCAGGCCCCACGAAACCGTGACGGGGGCCCAGAAATTCTCCACCAGCCGTTTGTAGGAGTTGATGGTCGGCGCAAACATAGGCATAATATCCGGGAGACCCGTGAGAACGCCCGCTAAGAAATATCTGCCCAAGTCGGAAAGATGGGCGACATCGGGGTACGGTGGAGATGGGTCCGGGGTATCGCGCAGAAAAGCGTTCTTTCCATCACTGGTAACGAGCGAGATATGCATGTGGCCACTATTACCAGGCAATCCCTGCCGGGGTTTTGCCATGAAAGTGGGTGTGATACCGTGCTTGGTTCCAATCGATTTGACAACATATCTGTGTCGCGGTTAATATGGGTCAAATCGATCCCATATTTGGCTTACTTGAATAGTCCTGCTTTATCGGCCATCTCCTTGGCTTCTCCGAATTGTAGCGCCTAACAACGTCAACATTGGCGGGTCAAGCCCCAGGTAGAGCACTCACAGCTTCAAACACCCCGGGTCCACTTTCTGTATGCCATCCTTCAATGTCGCATTTAAATTGCTCGCACGCATCGAAAATACCGTAATAATAATCTTGGTTATGGATAGGGCGGGTCAAACTGTATCCGAACATTCCCTCGGTCAAGGAAGGTAATGCTTCAACGGGGTTCTCTCTCAAGAAGGTCGCTGTGGCAGACGCGCTGCGCTCGGGAGATGGATGGGATTCCGGTACACGAAACTGATAAAACTCATACTCCGCTGAAAGAAGTCAGCCTGTCCATATCTCAAGGAGGATGTAGCGCGTTTGCGGACCCCCTGCCATCGCCCGATATCCGGCCGCCTCAGCCTTGCCGAGTGCGGTCTTTACCAGACCTCGAGGGCATGCACACACAGGCTCCCGAGTATCGGGATCGTGAAAGCTAACGAGGAAGAAAGGGACGTTGTTCTCCCAGGGAATGCGACGGAAGCTGCTCAGATCTGGAATGGCAACAATATCCCGATAACCGTTCTCCTTGTTACTAATGGCTAATTCCTTGAAGTACGTCTGATCGTGCATGTCCCACCCGAAGATCACCGAGCAGAATCCAAAGCCTTCCGACACGATCGAAAGGAACTTCTTCTTGGAGACGAGCTTCCCGCGAAGCATCCCATCGACATCCACACCGGCTAACTTGACACGAGTATCTTGCTGCAGGACCTCGGCGACATTGTCAAGTGTGACTTCGGGGGAGGATATAGAGCTCATATTGGAGCTAGCAGTGAAGCGACGTCAGTTCGAATTTAGGAATGGAAATAGTTGGAAGGCATGAACCTACAAACAAGGGAGAATCACGGTTCAAGAAGGATGCGGGCGGAGCGAAGGAGCCACAGCGGGTCATCTGTTATCAGGCGCCTTATCGTCATGCGGATCAAATGACCGCCCAGGAGACAAACTGCGTCCTTCCTCCTTGTCCATCTTCATTTTAATAATGTTTGCTCGTGTGGAGGGGCCTAGTACCGGAAAGCCTGGTCGGGACATCGCGCTCTTCATACGTGTCGTCCTGGAAGGAAAATGAGGAGGAAGATGATACCAGGAGAATCCTCTACTCTTCCGTTCCTCGTTATCAGTTTATCTTCAAGTCACTTGATGTCACTTGATTCCACGGTTTCCGCCATAGCTTAGATAATAAACGTGCCCCGCGTTTGGTGGTGTGTTGTCACCAGCTGCTGCTTCAATTGATATAAACTTATCTTTTGCTAATCAATCTTGAATCATTCTTCTCAATTAACCATAGTCGGATTGAAACTGTTATCCCCAAGGGTATCACCCTGAACGTGAGTCTTAAATCTTGATTATGACATCATCCTAGAGTCCCTTCTCCCGCCGAGGATAACCACTCACTGATCATTGCTTGCGGGTAGGAATACGACACAATGGCTACTCCAGTAGGTCGTCTTCAAGGCAAGAATGCTGTAATCACTGGTGCTGCAGGGTGAGTTCCCTAGAGGCAATTCCTTTCAGCAACGTGCTAATATAGTGTAGAGGGATCGGCCTCGAGACTAGCATCCTCTTCGCCCGCGAAGGTGCTAATGTCCTCATGGCCGATATCTCTGCCCCTGCCCTCGAGAAAGCTCTCGCCAAAGTGAAGGAAGTTGTCCCCAATGCCGCACGACTCGAAACCTTTCAATGCGATGTTTCCAAGGAGGCCGAGGTACAAGCGATGGTGGAGTCTCAAGACAGCTGGGGCGGAACCGATGTGATCTTCAACAACGCTGGTATCATGCATGCCGACGATGCCGACGCCGTGGACACGCCAGAGAAGATCTGGGATTTGACACAGAACATTAACGTGAAGGGTGTGTGGTTTGGATGCAAGCATGCCGTGCTCAGTCTCCGTCGTCATAAGAAGACTAAGGGTAGCATCATCAACACTGCCAGTGTAGTTGCCTTAGTGGGTAGTGCCACCCCTCAGCTGGCTTACACTGCCAGCAAGGGTGCGGTGCTGGCCCTGACCCGTGAACTCGCCATTGTGCATGCTCGGGAGGGCTTCCGTTTCAATGCACTGTGCCCCGCCCCGCTAAAGTACGTTTTGCATTAGCATTGAGCTTGACTGATTATCATGCTGACGATGACAGCACCCCGCTCCTGCAAGACTGGCTGGGCGATGATAAGCCTAAGCGGTTCCGTCGTGAGGTGCACTTCCCGACCGGACGATTCGGCGAGGCCATTGAACAGGCGCATGCAGTGGTTTTCCTTGCCAGTGACGAAAGCAGCTTCGTCAACGGTCATGATTTTGTTGTTGACGGTGGAATGTCTAAGGTACGTGAACCTGTGATTACGAACTTGCTGAGGAGAGGAGCTGATTGCATGATAGGCATACGTCACCCCCGAGGGACCAGCCACCACTGCCCCTAAGAACTTGGGTCACTAAATCCGCATGCTTATGCTTATACTACGATTGTCGATGAATGTCTTTATTGTCTAAGGGCAGATGCAATAGAAGATCTATTTTAATACCTTCAACCAGCCCCTAATGTAGCAGACATCGTCCATTCCGGACCTCATGAAGACGAACTTCCCTGCCGCTAGCCTGCTCGGTCATCCTAACCCATACCAGAGCACTACGAAGCCTAAATTTTATGTCCTAGGTCGTGGTGATATGTTTCATAATACAGACCTAGTACGTGCATTAAACGGTCGTGCAGCCCCTTGCCACAAAAAACCGTTTGATTATATGGATTTGAGATCAAATTAGGTATTATCATTCAACTCAATCTGAAATGTGGCACCTTTGTTACCTTTCTACTTGTATTCTCAAACTGAGTGACGTCCGGAATTTATGCGACCTCGGCTTCGACAATCATCTCATACTCCTGAGGATCAGGCCAAAAGTTGATAATTTTGAAGCCAGCATCGGTTAACAGCTTCTCCCACGCGCCTTGCGTCCGCTCGGAAGCTGACAGCAACGACATCATCTCCACGTCCATTGTGGTTTGGCTGAGGCTTGCTCCTATCGGCGGAAGAACGATGTCGTAGATGAGGAGCTTGGAGTAGCCCTTTACCATTGCGTTTCTGGTGTTCACGAGCAGTTGCTTCGCTTTGTCGTCCGGCCAGTCATGGAGAACGGCGTGCAGAAAGTAAGCACGGCTCCCTGCGGTTCTGGTATCAGTAGGCAGACTGCATTTCTGGTCCGGAGTGTCTCACCTGTCACAGGCTGCGGTAAGAAAAAGTCATGAGCCATAGCTGTGATCTTCTCATCGAGCCGAACATTGGCAATCACCTCGGGAAGATCTTGCAAAACGAGCGATCCAGCAGGGATGTCTGGATGCTTGGCAAGAACGTGGGAAATGTCCGTCCCAGTGTTTCCACCAAGATCAACCACGAATGGAGAGCCATCGTCCAGCTTGGCACCTTCGAGCAGGGTGGTGGTGTCGTAAACCTTAGTCCATGGGGTCTTCCATGCTGTCCAGGCCTCCATATGGCCAGTGAAAGCTTCGAAATACGCGGGACTTTTCTGCAATCGCCCAAAGAAGGTGAGACCGTCCGGATCAACGTCCGTGTAATTATTCAGATCAACGTCCGTAGGTCCTTATAAGAGATCTTGGCCAGATAGGCCGGCAAGTTATGGCCGGCCGCAATATATTGATGTGTTCTGGCCAACACGTCAGGACAGCATCTGGACTGATGGCTGGACAGGCATCCTTACGCTGCTTGAAGCGAGGCACGAACCTTGGTGCTCTCGTCACCGATAGCGTATGAGAACGCAGTCGGTTTGAATGTGTCTTCTGCGGTTTCCTCAACTACGTTGAAGGCTGCTAGCAAGCGGAAGAGCCGACCTGTACGCCTTCAGTGAGCAATATCGAAACATGCCAGCATGCGGTTCAAGGCTTACGCAGCAGGTTTGTATCAACGGTGGGGGTGGTGAGCTCTACCAACTCGTGGATCGACTTCTCACCCCCTCCAGCGTTTGTCCAGGACTTCCAAAGACCCACGTTAATGCATGTTTGCAGAGCGGCAAAGACAACAGGGTGTTCAAAGCAGAAGCCCCAGGCGCGCTCATAGGGTGTTTCCACTCGGGCAAGCAGTCGCCGTGCTGCAGCGCGCACTTGTAAGCGCTCCACTTCGCTGCCGCTATATGCCTCTGGTTTAACTGCATCTAGAGCAGCAATGGTTTCTAGGATCTGAGACCGCATATTGCACTTTCTGGTTGGGATTTCGGGGTATCAGGGAAGGAATATATGACACCGTTGCACTAGGCCAGGCGGACGAGGTGGGCGACGGTATATAAGGGCCGACGGTGCCCATTTGGCTAGCAGCGCTAGGGCCAAGTGTCGAATCTTGGATGAAGACAGCGGGGTGAACCCCTCAGCACTAAAACCAATGGCCCACAAAAGTTCAAGATTTCTTGCGTCTGAGCCGTTAGTATGGAAAATAATTGGAAACCTTCGTCTCTGGACTAGGTTAAGAGAGTAGGCAGGATCATCATTTTGTACACTTCCGAGGACCGGCTCAGGTGCTAATGTACGCGGTTAAGCCCATTCAGGAAAGATCGCTGCATATCTGGGCCACGCCACCACCAGTCTAGGCACCGATAGCAACATGCAGGGGGTCAGTTCGCCGGATCGTCTGGGCCGCGCACTGTCACTCGGGTCCTGAGTAATTATGTCCATCCTGCAACGCTACGGGGCACTTATGCCGATTTCTTGGCGTTCTTTGGCTTTCGATCGGCAGCAGAAAACGATATCGCTTGAAGTACAGGTCATATCCCCTTTCATACTAATACATTAGAGGCCGCCATACTCAGATCCTGGCGTACTTTAGTTGAGGAGCAGTAGCAGCAAGATGGTGTCGCTCAATCTACAGGTCATAAACCCTTCCATACTAATACTACACGAATGGCTGCATCTTCTCATCTTGGGTAGGAAATTTTTTTTCCCTCTCTCACCTCAATGACCGTTCACTTTTCTTTGTGAATCTACTGTAGCCATCTTCGACATGAGCGCATACGGAGGTTTAGGGCCCATGACCAATGCGGTCCTTTGGGTAGAGGTCGTGATCTTTGCTGTCTTCGTAGGGCTAAGGCTCTATACGCGAAAACACATTCTGAATTCGATCGGCCTTGATGATTATATGGTCGTACTTGCATTGGTGAGAGACTTAACCGTAATACAAAGCTACTTGGGCGCAAGCTGACATGCGGCAGATACTTCACGTCTTGTACACCATTTTTGTCAGCATAGGAACCCACTACGGCGTCGGGCAACTGTTTGCTGATGTCGGCGATCCAGTTACCTATTCCAAAGCCACCATGTATGAAGTGTTCAGCCAGGTGGCTGGTATCATGGTCATTGGTGTTGGTAAATGGGCCGTTGGCACCTTCCTCCTACGAATTGTGCGAAATAAAATTCAGATTTGGTTTATCTGGGGTTGTCTTGCGATCACCACTATCATCACACTGTTCGCCAGTATTACCGTTGTGATCCAGTGTTTTCCAGTCCAAAAGACTTGGAACCCAACTCTGGAAGGAACATGCTGGCTCGACTTTTCCAAGGTGGGCTACACGGTTGGATGTGAGTGCTGCATGACCTTGGCCCTAGCGTGGGTTCTTGAATGAAAACGCCTGACTTGTTTTCAGCGTGGTTCGTCGCTGCCGACTTCTCCTTTGCGATTCTTCCATGGTTCATCGTCTGGGATCTCAACATGAAGCAAAAGGAGAAGATCACGGTTGCCTGCGGTCTCAGTCTTGGAATCTTGTAAGCCTGGAAAGCCCCACTGCTTTGGACCAACGTCTGACATGAAGACTCCAGCGCTGGAGTATGTGGTATCGTTCGCACCGTAGCTCTGGCAGGCCTGAATGCATCTGAATATATCTGTACGTTCTCTTCAGCCCCGCTCATGATGGTAGAGCTGACCCAACTCGAAGATGATACCGTGCCAATGCTCATCTGGTCCGCAACGGAAAGTTGCGTCACGATCATGTGCTCGACGATTCCCGTCCTCCGTCCTCTCTACGTTCGTATTAAGTACGGCTCAAAGGACGAAAGCAATTCTGGGAACAGTTCCTACAAACTGCCATTGTACGGCAGCGGTCGCAAGTACGGCAGACTTTCGAAATCCGGTCTTGACCCTTCCACCGTTGAAACGATCGGCGGTTCTCGCCGGACACCTGCTAGAAACTATAACACCAGCAACGTTAGCAATGAGCATATCCTGGGGGACACTGCAGGCATCGCAAGGACAGACGAGATTTCTGTCAGCTATGAGCAAGTCGAGAAGAAAGTCTAGGAAGCGGCTCACACTGTTGAGTACGCCGATCGATGTCTACTTGTCAATTTGGGCCGGAAGGAGAGCGATCTGAACCAGGATGTCCGAGGGTCGAGTATGGGTGATTGGTGGAGGGTGACTACTAACTAGAGTTATGGAGGAAACTTAGCTGATAACTACGATGTGTCAATCTCCCCAGACAAGCTTCCGAAGGTCCACAGTAAATGCTATGTCCTCGATCGATTTCCCAAGTTCATTCATTGAATGGGGCGTGGATCCCCGCTAGGGAATTTCTCCTAGACTCGTGGTCATTCCTCAAAAAAAGAAAAAGGAGAACGCAAAGGAATATTCTCCGTATCACTTCCAAATGACTGCGGAATAATCGGCAGAGGAGTATTTACCCGCCGATGCAGACTACCTCTAGGCAAAACGAAGTTTCTTTTAGTCTATGCATCACAATCGGATTTACTATTCTCCCTCCTCCCCAGGAGATCTATCACACGAAAATTCCCAAACAGGAACAAAGGTGACATGAGTACTCACACGACTCCATATATCTAGCCAACCCTGTGTAAAGTAGCACTCGATTGTCAACGGAACCATGATTCAAGCAGAAACTATATCCATGAGTGGGGTGTGTGTGTGGCGCCCAAGCCGTCCCAAGGCCCAAGCCCGCGGCACGGCATTCTTAAGTTCCAGGATACCATTTTTAGGTCTGTGGCTTACGGAGGAAGTGTTCCGGGGAAGCCATCTAAGGCTGAGAAAATAGTTCTATGGCTAGCTCGGGCCTGTCACAATGCATACATATTAGGGCTCGCTAGACCAAGCAAGGGGGACACGGGTGTGTGTGCCAACCGAGATTGATTTAAGGGTAGATACTAGATACAAACTCCGAGGTATGTGTTCAAGTTTCAGGAGTTACTCATATTAGGTTGGAGGGGGAAGTTTGAATCAGGCGTACTTTTAACGTGGGGGGATAGAAATAACCACAATAAACATGAGGATATTGAAGGGTAGCAGCCAAGAAATATGTCTCACTACAGAGTCGTATGCACACAACTCTTGCTTTTGATGTGTCAATGCAACTGTCGATCAACATCCCACACCAACGTATTACTTGGTTGGTGTGTTAGGGGGTCAGAAGGCAACTTAGATTCTACATATCTATAGTCGGATACACTAAAATTCAAAACTGGCGCCCTGGGGTCTTTGTATCCTTTCATTGTTTCCCCAACCCTATGCCAAGAAAATACTAACCTCTTATGGAATACCCCGATCCTACCTAGGAGAAGGTATTGTATGGTACTCATGTATATTATTACAGTAATATTATCATGCTGTATGTTTTGCTAATACAATACCATATTGCCCTACAACCCTCCCTTCCCTGGTGATGATCTGTCAATCATGCTCGTTCTCCCGAACCAATCTAACGGCAGAATTAGCACCTAATCTTAGTGCATCGAAGATAGAGGCCACCAATATGATGATGGCAACCGGTGAACTCACAGCGGCCCAGATGGCTGATGTGGTTGACTGCCACGAACGTATAATAAGAAGGCTACGTACTAACAAACGCTTATTTGGGAGCGTGAAAGCACCCCCTAAGGGTGGGAGGCCGCTGTTACGCCCGGGTATCAGTCAAAGGACTCTGCGACCAGTTAGCTATCTTGGTTAGATACGACTTACCCCGATGACTAGAATTCCCTAGTGATCGACGACGAATAGGTGACCGGAGGTCCGAAATGGGATAACAACGAATCGAGTATTAGTCCAAGGTCGAAAGGCCAGGCCAATCGAGTACGTATACTCAAATTGTTAGATACTGCCAACAAGTTGAGCTGGTAACAAATCTTGAATGTAGCTATCAAGTAACTTATGATATTGATCACGAAGAACTAGACTAAGTACATGAATGAGTGTCCCTATATATCCTTGGTCCCTATATACCAAATGGTATATGTATACCAGGTCGGTATCTTGCCCTTGATACATACATTTTGCTAATCATGACCGCCATCGATAAGTTGCAGGGTTCACGACAGCCATTTTCCAAATAATATACGCTAAGTGTGCATGCAGCAAACAAAGACTAGGGCTAATCTTACAAATCCTTCCAGGTCTCTAACATTTTTGGCACCAACACAAGGCTAAGATACCCAATGTCTTTCTACCAAACCTGACATGAGCATCACATAAGGTTCTTCTGTATTGAACTTGAACCGAAACAAACGTCAGAAAAGCATCCATCCCTAAATTGTTCCTTCTGGTTTCTGCATCCTATTCGCATTGCCGATTGGTTGATGCAGAGGACTATCTATCATTTCCGGATTGTGGGGTTTCTTGCCACTAAAGCCCTTGTTCGCATCTTTGTTGGCATTACTGGTGTTGGGAACCGGGGCATAAGGGCGAGAAATGCTATCACGTATAGGATGGGCTGTGCCAGTTTGAATTGCGCCTTCATCAGTCACTCTATCGGCTGTAGAGAGAGCCAAATCACCCGAATCAAAGTACTTCCGTTCCTTCCACTTGTCAGTAGCTAGCTGCCTTGGGCTGCCTTATCAGAAACATACTCTAGACTGCCGTCTGAGCAGCCCTCCTCCATGAGGCAGTCTACCATAAAGGCGGAGGCGGCGTTTCTCATCCTCGGAGAGAGTCTAGTAACATATTGGCCCAGTGCGCTATATCTCAATGATGCTGAGGAATCGTCTAACCTGCGAGTGGGCTTCTTTATCCCGCTCTGCTTCCATTATGATTTGTGTCACGTTCATAGGCTGTTTAAGTTAATAGCGAAGAACAAAGAATGATGCACATTAATATATTGAATATATTCATTGCCACAATAATAAATGCCAGTGGTAGCCCTATGGATGAGAAGCCGCCCAACCGAATCATCATGTCATCATTTTTATCACTTGCCTTCCCATCCATAGAACGTTAACCCCTTTAGAGTTAAATATGGGAGGTCACATGTCGGGGCCTGAAAGACAGAAAAGCATTTTTAGAACACTTGTATGGATTAGTCACCGTATCGTATCAAATTAGGTATATTGAGAAAGTGATACATAAATTAAGTCATAATAGTTCCCATAGACCTAAGTACCTCGTCATTTCTTTCTATGCCGAAACTAGTTATGAGTACATAGAAGGTTATTCTTGGTGCCCCTAAGCAACTACTATTGTCTCTACCTGGAAGAAACCGATTACTATTGACATCCTGTGGACGGTAGTGCCACTTCAGTGGAGTAGTACTATAGGAGGTGATCTCTAGGCCAATGATTCAAGAAACTGATCAAGAAATAGAGAAGCAAATAAAATCCCACGCTTCATCCTCCGTAGACTGCGCTAACTTTATATTACTGACTTGATCACGGCTAAACTAGTAGCGGTTGGTAGGGCTTGGCAACCACCGTAATCCTATGGTATGCTAGTTAAAAAGCAGTTAGCCGTGCCGTAGGCTATTCAGTGACGTCTGCGACTGTTCTAGCATTTGATGCAGTGGCGACTGATTATACAGCACTGGGATCGGGCTGTGAAGTATTACAAAGTAACATATAATTATGGCCTGCAAACGACAGTCTTATCAGAAGAGAAACCAGAGAGTACAAAATCATGGAAATGCCTGGATTCTTGGCAGTAGCATCGCCTCTCTGGCATCTGCAGTTTATCTAATTCAGGACACAGACATGCCAGCCTCTCATGTTCATATCCTGGAGTCCCGCATAGCACCTGAAGATGGGATACCCACCACGGGCGACTCGGTGAGTGGGTATGACCATCGAGCTCCATGCTTGCCACTTTTGTGCGATGAATACACTGAAAATCTGCTTTCTTTAGTGCCTTCGTCCAATAGTCCAGGGAAGACAATGCTGGACGATTTAAATGAAGCAAGAAGGAATGCGCCCCCCACTCGTCTTTTCAGCCAACATGGTCATCAGGTGGAGGCTTTGCAGCCCCAGAACATCCGCATTGGTTGGAAAGTCCGGATGAGCTTGGTGACATTTATATTGAAGTCCGAGAAAAGCCTGGGGAGAAAGATCATCCGCGACTTCTTCGACAAATGGTTTTTTCACAGCAGATTCTGGGCTGTCTGGTCGTCAGCGTATGTCGTCTACTCCGAATTGGCAAGCCGTTAACTCTAACAATGGAATCTATAAAAGGTTTGGCCTTTGTCCTTGGCATAGTGCCGTCGAATTCCGTCGGGGTCTCTTAAGTTACTTCCACGACTTCCAACGTCGAAAGGAATTTCCTGGACTAGATCGGTGCAGATACCATGCGCAGGAAGATATCATTCTGCCTATTACCAACTTCCTTCAGGAAAAAGGAGTTCATTTTCAATTCAACACCACGGTCACAGACATAACAGTAGATCTGCAAAGAGGTTATCAATCCATATCAGCTTTCAAAACGGTTCAGAATGGATTAGAGAATACTGTCACTGTCAGTGCGCCTGATGTTGTTATTGCATCACTTGGGTCATCAATTTCTGGGTCAACAAAAGGTACTAATACAAGACCACCTTCGTTGGAAATCCTGAAGGCGGAAGACAAATTGGATGAGAATTGGTCACTCTGGCTGGCATTCGGCGCAGGCCTCGGCTCCAGTCTCGGCGACCCGTACAATTTCTGCACGCGAGTGGGTGAATCCAGAGAGGAGACTTTCACAATTTCAATAAGAGGCGTTAAGTTCTCCGACCATTTTATGAACTTGGCTAGTGCTGAAAATGATTCAACTTCAATCGTTCTCCAAAATAGCAACTGGTTACTTAGTTTATTTATTCCCCGTCAACCACTTGTTCCTTATCAACCCACAGATGTGCAGGTTATGTGGGGCTATGGCTCGGCCCCTCAGCATATAGGAAACTTCGTGAAGAAGCCAATGCTCTGGTGCTCTGGGCAGGAGATCTTAATTGAATTGCTGCAGCATCTCAATGTACCTCCGGAATCCATCTTAGACCATTCAATTACTATCCCACGTGTGATGCCACGCTTAGCGGCGCCGTTGCTGCCTCGGGCTTGTGCAGATCGTCCAAGGGTGATACCGGAGTGTACAACCAATCTCGCAGTGGTCGGTCAATTTGTGGAGATACCAGATGAGACTGCTGCGACTATGGACTATAGTATACACGGAGCTCAGATCGCGATATATCAACTCATGGGTGTCCAAAAGGGGCGGAGGAAAGATAAGAAACATTCTATTGCTAGTTTCTTGGGCTTCTAAGATATGGTGAAGGGGCTCTGTTTAATATCGAGGGACTTTCTTCGTAACAGTGGGATATAATTACCGATCATTTTCAAGTTGCATTATTTTAAAACTGTGGGCATTTAAGAATATCATGTCGCTGGGGTCGCAGAATCCTAGCACTTCAGATATCAGCTGTGGAGATATAGAAAACATACATTTGTTCTGAATCCACATCTGCAGAACTCTCGCCAATGCTAACTTTTTTTCCACTATCGATATATGTCGCCTCTGTGGGTAACCTGACTTGCGTTTGTGACAAAATACGGACGATACGCTAAACAATACGAATAAATATAAGGCACTAGATATTGGAATAGAACGCTGGATAATGTGATATATTCGAGCAATTCCAAGGTCGGTATTGACTGTTAAAAGAATTTATTTATTTATTTATTTATTTTTTCTCATTTGTTCTATGAGGGAAACCTCTGAATACAAAATGGCCTCTCAAACTGTTCTTCGTCTTCTTGGTCACGATTCCTGGGAACGATTTACTGAGTTCAAAGAATCAGTGCCCTGCCAGTGTGTCACCATTGTTGCCTGAGGCATAAATCATCCCGCCAGCCATGGATCTGCCATACGAATTATGTACATGTATTATAAGATGCTGAGGGTATCTTACAAATACATACCGTACTGTATCCGTTCTGGAATATAGTTGGTCCGTTAAGTGTCTAAAAGTAGTTTAGCGGCTTTTGGTGTTAGGGTTGGGGAAACAATGAAAGGATACAAGACCCGGGCGCCGGTTTTGAATTTTAGTTGTACATTCATGGCGTCTTTCAGGGGCTTTATTGTGGCTTTTTTGTTGGGACTGAAGCTATCACGTGACCTGGATGTGGTGTCTCCTGCCTCAGGCTGAGAAAGTAGAAGAGTCGCTGATTAATAATTTTGAACTGCTGGGGGCAATACAATGCTAATAACAGTTGGCGTTATGTAGCTAGGCCGTCATATGGTTGAATTCTGTTTTATCATACAGCTATGATTTAACTCATATTTGACCCAAAAACCTCACAGTGTAACAGTTCCACAGCGTTGCTCAGGGAAGCGGACTCGTAGCCCTAGGATCCGTGGCGCTATGTGGATCAGATTCGACACAAATAACAAATAACGTATTCCTTGCAATTGTGCATTTTCAGCACAGCTGTTAAATCCAGCATCTGGTAAATCCGAAGCTACCCATGCGACAAAGCTCCAGCTCTAATACTAAAGGTGGAGCCCCTACAGCGGGACGGTTCCAATGACAGCTTCGGTATGAATCCACTCGGTGCACACCGGAGACTGGAACCAACCGAACTACACAGTAAATGGATCCAATGACGAAATGCTCGCCTCTGCAGCCATGAGGTCATGAATGTATTTGTTTCGTGTCGGCCTTTTAAATATGGAGTCACCCAGTCAAAGCTGGAATTGGGAATTCCAACTACGCGAGTACTGCTATTCCTTACCCTAAACACCCATCAAAATGTCCTCCGGCGTATCCTTCAAAACAAAGAACGGCGTCACCATCCCCGGCGTCGGCTTCGGTACTTTTGCCAACGAAGGCTCCAAAGGCGAGACTTACAAGGCTGTCCGCCACGCGCTGAAAGTCGGGTACCGACACCTCGAGTGTGCCTGGTTCTATGCCAATGAGGACGAGGTGGGACAGGCAATTCAAGATTTCCTGAAAGAGAACCCGTCAGTGAAGCGGGAGGATCTGTTCGTGACGACGAAGGTGTGGAACCATCTGCATCGGTATGACGATGTGCTGTGGTCGTTGGAGGATTCGCTGAAGAACTTGCAATTGGACTACGTGGACCTGTATCTGGTGCATTGGCCCATTGCTGCTGAGAAGGACGAGAACCATCAGCCGAAGCTCGGACCGGATGGAAAGGTAGAGTAATCACGATATCCAGATTCCGCGATACTATCACTAACAGCGTGAATAAATAGTACATCATCCTTGAGGAATTGACAAAGAACCCCGAAGAAACGTGGCGTGCGATGGAGAAGATCTACGAATCCGGCAAAGCCCGCGCCATCGGTGTGTCCAACTGGCGTATCGAGGGTCTTGAGCATCTCAACAAGATTGCCAAGGTGAAGCCCCAAGTCAACCAGATCGAGGTCCACCCCTTCCTTCCTAATACCGAGCTCGTCAACTACTGCCAGAAGAACGGCATCGTGGTCGAGGCGTACTCGCCCCTTGGGTCTCAGAATCAGGTCCCCACTACGGGCGAGAAGGTGTCGGAGAACCCGACGTTGAATGATATTGCCAAGCAGAAGGGCTGTACTTTGGCGCAGATCTTGATCGCCTGGGGCTTGAAGAGAGGCTATGTGGTTCTGCCGAAGAGCTCGAACCCAGCGAGAATTGAGTCGAACTTCAAATCGGTCGAGTTGTCGGACGACGAGTTCAAGGCTATTAATGCTGTTGCGGAGGGAAGGCATTTCCGGTTTGTTAACATGAAGGATACTTTTGGGTATGATAATTGGCCAGAGGAGGCGTGAAGCATGGGCTCAATAAAAGTAATATAGTTTTTAGACACTTGGCAACGAACATTGATGATTATCTGACCTATGTATCTTTCGTAAGTGGGTGGCAAGGCTTTTCCATCCTATTTTGTTTACCTGTGCCCTAGCTATTGCGGGTTTTGGCCTCGCACATACTACTACGTAAGATATTTTGCTTGGAGCACAGACATATGTGCTGAATACACAACGGCCAATGAAGCGCTGGGAGTATTCGACTAGTCAATGACCTGTAGAGTTGCCTCTTGTCATCCAGTTAATTAAGTTATCCCACAATGCAAATATGAAAGAACTTCTGGTGTCACCTTTACTCAAATATGTTCCACAGTTTGAAAGACCGAAGTAGTATATATGAAGTGTATGGTCTGTGTGCCATCAAACGTCAAGCACGCATTTATGGTAGCAAGACACTGTAGCTCGTAAAGTCTACGAGTTGTCCAGCTACGCACCAACACTATTCGTCATCAGTATCCCCAGACCAAAAAGCAAGATTACCGTGAACTATATTGAGGATACAAAGTATCCGTAGAAGTATTTGACTAGGTTCGGGCCCAATGGATCAGATAGAGTTGGTGTACCCTAACCATTTCTGGCTGTTACCCATTTGATACGCGAGTTCAGGTTCAGGTTCCAGCCAAATCTCGAAAGGCCAGGCCAGAACGATTGAGGCTGCTATAATAATAAACTTAATCTTGACTCATGGGTGAGTGAATAATGAAGTATGTTTGTGAGAGCAACGGTATTTGCCATTCTTAGTATCGTTAGACGAAGTTCAACGGTGAGTCGGTGACTGATATCGGCTCAGCCATGTTGCGTTTAAACTTCATCTACTAACGAGAGGCGCATCAAATGACTTGAATGGCTGAAACTCATCATCCGAGGAATCTGTTATTCTGACTTAACTCGCTTGTACTAGATACTCTGAAAGCATAAAGAGGGAGAAAAACCGAAAGAATGATCTAGAAGTCTGATGGCTTGGATGGCTACATCGACTATGCCAGGCACTATGTGTACGTATAGTTTTCCGAGTAAAGCATAGAATGGTCCTTCTACTAGCCTCTTTCCTGATTGAAATAGGGCCTTCCAGTATCCAATTATCCTTGAAAGCACGACGTTCATACCACGTTAATCATATACTCAAAGAAATCGAACTCCAGTCATAAACATCTCCAACCTCACCGACAACAAAACCATGTCTCCCCACTACTCTTATACAACTCACCCCCATTGCCATGGTCGATATCCAAGCTTGAACACAACGTAAACCCCTGGCCCTCCAGACACTGAAGCACATCTAGTATGGCCACTCTACTCAGCACCGCTCCTTCGTCCGACGACTTAGCCCATAACCTTTTTTGGAACTTGACCTCAAAGTTTCCGCTCACAAGATCCTGGTTACAGTTCTTGATCCGGTCCCCGAAGACTGCAACCAGGGACAGGGCCAACTCGGGAGGAGCGTTGATGAGGTGCATGAGGTCTTCAGAGTCGAAGGAGATACACATCCATGAGAGCTGTTGTGAGTCTTGGCGCTTGAATATCAAGCTATCTGTGATCTGTCAGCTTCACTGCTCTATGGATGCTTTATCCGGGTAGCTCGAGTAGCATAGCATTGGAAGGCAATAAACAAAACAAAATCGAACAATACAAATAAAGACTGTCAACGAAACAAGACGAACATACCCTTCTGCCCAAACGACGTATAATTCCCTATGCGCCCCAACCCCCCGGCAGCAGGATGAACACCCCAACCCTCTCTCGCAAGAGCATCCAGAAGCCCTAATATAACATTCCGCAGCGCAACCTTCTCATCATCATTGCCGTGTTCAAAAGGGTTTCCACGCAGCTTGAACTCCGTGCTCTCATAGTACGCCTTTACATTTTGTATACCCTTGGGCCAGTGTCTCTGGAGTGTCTCCGATACAAGCGCGACAACAGATTCCGGGAAGCGCATGAGACGAATACGGTCGTACCCCGAGATGGAAATCAGCCCGTATTGCGATCGCTGATCCTCATCTTGCAACTGTGTCTTGGTGTCGCCTGGGATGGCGGTCGAGCTGGAGCCTGCGGCTTCTTCGTAGGCTGGGGGTTCGTCGCGCATTCTGAAGCAGGTCATTCTTAGACGGGATGGGTATTTGTTATGTCTGCGTGAGGAAGGGGCAGATGTGCTGACGTAAGTCTAGCGACCTGGAGAAATATCGGTGGGGAAATAGGGCAAACCTGCTATATTTTTATATTCGCTGAGGTAAGACTGTTTCACCGTAGAGGACGAGTCTAATACTTTGTTGCCTGATGTTGGGGGTGTAAGACTACACTCGAGCCATAGATTGCAACTCATATAGCCCGATCCTACAGGATGAGAAGCTGACCAATGTGAGCTACGGGATGAGCCTGCGCCACATCGGGTGCTGGACGTCTACATCTTATTCGTCATGATCTATGCGCGCAGGATTTGACTAGTACTAGGTAGTAGTATGTTGCATGGAAGAGAGGACTGGGTGATGTCACGGAAAGCCGCTAACTCGTGGCTGAGCATTGATGCCCTTTGGTCAGATGGAGATGTCCACATGATATGACCGTGGCTTGTCTTGATTTGTCTATGTTGAAAGGACCTATCATGGTAAGCACCTGTTGTGCTAGATACCAGGGCTTGAAAACTCGCTGGAGCGTCACAGACGTACATGGGTGAGGCTAGGCATTCCGTCGTGTTTGCCCTAACTCTGTATTTGGTCCATCAACCTGTAGTAAACTTACACTGTTTCACGCCAAACAATGTCAATATTTTAGCACGATCTCAATAAATCTTCCAGGGTCTATAGTTCAGTGCCCTCAATAAATCAGTGCGATATAAGTATAGTGACTACAGCCGAGAGTTGGGCAAACGGCAATGCTTCGCGTTACCAAAAAACGTGGGAAAAGCTAGAATTTCCCACATATAGAGTACAAAGACATAGACCACGGTGCAATTATGTCGATTGCTGAAAAGATCTCTGACTTTTCTAAGTAGGATAGTTCGTCATCTATGAAAAGCAAACCGCCGGAATATATCGAGCAAGAACAAAAACAAACGCCGAGCCGTCTATCGTAATGACCAAAACAGGCAAATCATCATACTGCTCATGCAGCGAACAGAGTCCAGAAAATAAGTATAAACATAAAATATTTACTAAGCCTCGTCATCAGTATCCGGGGGCTTGGGGGTACCCTTAGGGCTATTGAGCCACTCAAGATGGCGGAGACGACGACGAGTCTCCCGTTCTTTCAGCTGGGCACGGGTCATCTTCTTCTTCTTCCTCGCCTTGAACTTGAGTTCGCCCTGTTCTTCAGCGCCAGAGTTCACGGCCGAAGCAGCAGCAGAAGCGGCCGCGCTGGTGGCGGTGGAGTTGACGGCGGTGCCGGCCTGGGGAGAATTGGCCGCACTGTCTTCAAACCGATCGAGCGACACGCTCGTGTTGGTACGGGCAACAATGCGTCCATCAGCGACATGAAGCTGCTCGGGGCAGAGCGCGCCCACAAACTCCTCGTTGTGAGAAATCATGACCACACCACCCTTGAAGTCACGGATGGCCACAGCCAAACCACCCAAAGAGTCACGGTCCAAGAAGTTAGTAGGTTCGTCCAGCACGAGCAAGTGGGGGTTGTTCCACATGGCTCCGGCCAACACAACCTTGACCTTTTGACCACCAGAGAGACCAGAGATTTGGTTGTGATTGGCGATCTCAGGATCCAAGCCAACATCCTCGAAGTGCTTCGAGATCTCAGGAGGTTCCAGGTTTCTGAACCCAAGACCTTCGCGAGAAGCCTCGTGATCATCAAATTCCTGAACCAGCTTGAAGAATCCAAGTTCAAGCAGGGTCTCACGAGAAATCATGGTGTTGTGCTTGGGAAGGAGACCAATCCATTTACTATGATATCTGTTAGCGGCGGCGCGCGGAGACGAACAGGCAGCGATAACTTACACTTCGTACTGGAACGACTTCTTCCACTTTTGCCGACCCATAAGGGCCTCAATGCGACGGGGGCCCCTGCCATCCTTGAGGTCGACCGGCTTCTCCAGCTGAGCCTTATCCTCTTCGGTGAGAACACGGGTCTGCTTCAAGTAGACTTCGCGGTCGTCACCGTTGGCATAACGCCACTGGAGGTACTGGCTAGGGGTCTTCTCCAGATGCATCTCCACGTGCTCGAGAGCGTGCTGCTTGATATAACCGATACGAAGGTTGGGGTGTTTCTCAACTTTGCCGGTTTGGGGAATTGTCTCTCCTGTAAGCATCTTGATGAAAGTAGATTTACCAGCACCATTTCCTCCGATGATAGCCACACGGGACGACAGCGTCAGGGTGAGCGATGCGTCGGTCAGGGATGGCTTGGAGGCACCGGGATAGGTGTAGGAACAGTTGGTCATCCGGAGGATGGCACGGGTCTGGGACTTGATACCGGACAGAATACCAGGGGGAGGGAACTTGAACTGAACAGCGCTGGCGGACAAAGTGTAGTAGCTCTTTGCCTCGGGCTTCTGCTTGACGAAAGCAGCCAGATTACCCTTGTAGCAGACCAGCTTCTTGCTTTCGTAGTGGTAAATATCCGTGCAGACTTCGTCCAAGAATCCGGAGTCGTGACTGACAATCAAACTGGTGATATCAGTGTGCTTCTTGAGGTATTCTTGCAACCACTTCACATTGGCAACGTCCAAGTGGTTAGTGGGTTCGTCCAGGAGTAGAACATCCGCCTTCATGAGCATGGCACGGGCCAACGCAAGCTTCATCTTCCAACCACCCGACAGCGACCCAACACGCTGCGACTGGCGGCCCTCTGGGCCATCTGTGAAGCCGAATTCGAGAAGCACCTGGCTGATATGCTCTTGGCCAGCCTCCGCGATCTTGGGGTCCTTGGAGACGTATTCGATGATGCTCAGGTCAGCATCCTCACCCTGGTTGTGCTCCACAAAGCAGGTTCGAACAACATCCTGCGGGGGGAAGCCCTCCAGCTTTTCGTTGGCGATACTGCGCATGAGAGTGGACTTGCCAGCTCCATTGCGACCACAAAGACCATAACGGTGACCCTTCAGCAAACGGAGGTTGGTGTGGTTGAGAAGAAGCATTCCACCGTAGGCAAGGGAGAAGTTGGCGTTGACAATCTCGACCTCATTGGGATCGTCGGGTTCGGGCTTACCAAACTTGCGGTGATCTTCCTCGATAAAATGTGCCTGGAGAGCGGAGGCAACAGCCTCATGTGTATCCTCCGGGAGCAAACCACGCAGGTAGGGCGCGACACAGACAGGGATACGGTCGTGCATGCGGCAGTTCACATCCTCACGAACCATCTCTGCGATGTACGTCTTACCGAGCTCGAAAAGTGTATGCGCCTCAGGCACAGCAAGGCCGCCGTTGGCCTGGATCTGGGCATTCAAGACGGCGAGAACCTCATCCGGAGTGGTCTTGGTGACGGATCCAGCGTGAACATTGCTGTCGCTCATGGCCTTCTCCATTACGTTCAATGCGCGGGTGGCAAGCTCTCGGACTTCCGGCAAGGAAGCACGGTCCTTGACAGCCTGTACACCGGGAATGAGCTTGGGCAAGAACGTACGTGCCTCGGAGGGATCATGCACGAGCTTTGTCAAGTTTTCCACGACCACGACAGTGCGACGCAAAGTCTCTTGGGGCGTTGTTGGGGCGTTCAAGGAGCGCTCAAGCAAAGGAGTGAGCAAGGCCAGGACGGGCGAGGTAACAATGGCGACGAAAGTAGTTTGCGACAAGGCATGGATGGCATCCTGTAGTGTCTTCTCGGACGGCTGCTCCATGGTCTTGATCAAAAGAGGAATACGAGGGGCAACATCATCGTTGGACAAGAGGGTGGTAACCGCGTTCATGGCCTTGCAAGCCCGCTTAGCCACTTCAGCCTTCAGATCGTGCATGCCGGACTCCACCAGAGGAATCAAGTCTTTCAGAGTCTTGCCCATTGCCTCGCGCAGTATATCCTTCTCACGTTCTTCCTCCAGAGTTCCGTTACCCATCTGCGCCTTGACGGCCATCTTCTCTATCAGGGAGTATGCGCCGACAAAGCCCTGCCACTTGCCAGTGCCGCGGCTGAGATAAGCAGAAAGGGCAGGCAGGAGACCATTGGCCATGGCTTCGGGCTTGAGACAGGCAAACAAGGCATCGATTGCATATTGAGCGGCATCGCGAACCACTGCGCCTTTGTCGGCCAACGCATCCAGGGCAATATTAAGAACGCCGCCATCTTGAAGGAGAAATACAACTTCGCTCAGAGGATGTTCACGAGGGAAACGTTCGAACAGGGCGCCGAGAATCAGCATGGCACTCTCACGGAGGGCGCCATTCTTCTTATCGCTGGCCGCCTTCTTGACATGCGACAAGACATCATATTTCTGAAAGCCGAGGCTGCCGACACTTTGAATCAGCAAGTTGGTCAAGGCGTAGGAGGCATCAAGAGATTGCTGGGAGGTCTCTGCGGTGAAGATCGTGTTGAAAAGGGACGAAATCTCCTCCGGAGTCGGAGGGACGGTAGATGGAGTCTTGGAAACAGCGGTAGCCATGGTTGTATTTTCGAAATGAGGCATTCTATTGTATATAGGGCGATATCAAATGCCGTTTGTCTCTCACCGGAGAGTGTGCCTTCGCTTCGACCTTTGCGCTAAATCTGTAAGCCACTAAAGCGGCGTCGTCTGGTGGAAAATTCAAAATACCACAAAAAGGAGAAAAGAAAAGTAATAAAGAAATCTACACGAAATTCAAAACTTTTTGATGAAAATCCAACCGTTAGATCGGCCTCAGAACGAGGATCCGTCTGCAACAGAAACAACAGGGTATATGAACAAGAAAAAGGAAAGAGGGGAGAGTGAAGAGACAAGAGGAAAAGGAAGAAAATCCAGGCTGAACTGGAAAGAAAGATCACTGATAATGATGGCGGGGCGGCGATTATTTTTTTTGGGCCGCCGATAAGTTCTCTTGTGATTGGGTGTGGGTGAAAATCTCTGCCTGAGGCGCAGGAGGACAGGATTTTCACCAATCAGAATACACCGCCTTTGCATGGGTCCTGATTGTTGGCTCAGCCTGGGTGGCTGTCGGGTGGCTGCAAGGTGCCTGAGGCAACTATGGCTGGTAAGGGTCTAGCCAGGTGCCGGCTGTGGCGGTGCTCGCTTTGCTTGGCTCCTCTGCCTCAGGCATACATCGCTTCACCCCCGGCCCGAAGCAGGCTAATCCACATCGGGGTTACCCCGCACGCCGGATCCGCCAACCCGCGGATACCGTGACGGGGGCGGAGTGTCTCGTCCAAACATTCAATACACCAGGTATCTGACATGCAACCCCTGGGAAGGACCAGCAGCATTTATATACTCTTTCTCTTGCATTCTGGAACACCGCTATAGACCTCTTCGACTGTGTAGCTTGCAGGTCATCTTATTCCACCAGCCATGAATTAAACAATCATCTCGTATGTCAATGATCGACTACCAACTGATCCCGAAGCATATGGTCCATCACATCCCTTGTGAGAATACCCGACCCTCGGTAACAAAAATCCCAACAAATAAATATCAACGCGGACCAACGGTGTAGAATACTGATGTATTTTTGCTCTCTATGATCATAAGAAAGGTAGAGTTATTTAGTACTAGCAATAACATCCTTCCATCCGACCGTGAAGGAGAAGTGGTGTGACTTGACCTCTGGCAAATAAATAGAAGTAATGGGGGTTGGCGTTCTCCGCATGCAGCCGCGGCATTGCCTCGGTAGCTCCTTGTCAGCTTCACCGTTCCTCCGCGGCCAACCGTGCGTTCCAATCGGTGTGCGGTGCAAGGGAGACCCTCCGCGTATAATTCGTGCTCCCTCCTTTCGCCGTTCTTTTCTCTTCCCTGTATATTTTCACTCGAAGATTTAAAAACTCCCATCGTCCTCCCTGATAGGCTTCGACAGAAAACCTGTTCTGTGTCCTGTGCTGAGTGTAATTCTACGGGTCTTTCCTTCACAAATAAATAAACACACCATGGCCATGTCCATGCGAACCACTCGCCATGCTACCAAGCTGGCTCAGGTTAGTCACCGATCGCAATGGGTATTACCCTAATGCAGAAACTAAATCCAGCCATTGTGACAGTCTTCACGTTTATTGGCTCAGTATACCTCTCGCAGATCTTATGCGACGGCGGAACCCGACCTGAAGTCTGCCCTCAAGGCGGTCATCCCCGCCAAACGTGAACTCTTCCAGCAAGTGAAACAACGTGGGGACGATGTGATTGGCGAGGTCAAGGTTGCCAATGTCATTGGTGGCATGCGTGGTCTCAAGTCGATGCTCTGGGAGGGCTCGGTCCTCGATCCCGAGGAGGGCATCCGCTTCCACGGCAAGACCATCAAGGATTGCCAGAAGGAGCTCCCCAAGGGTACCTCCGGCACGGAGATGTTGCCCGAAGCCATGTTCTGGCTCCTCCTGACGGGTGAGGTCCCTTCGACCAGCCAGGTGCGCGCCTTTTCGCGCGAGTTGGCCGAGAAGTCCCACCTCCCCCAGCACATCCTGGACCTCATTAAGTCCTTCCCCCGCGACATGCACCCCATGACGCAGCTCTCCATCGCTGTCGCTGCCCTGAACACTGAGTCGCAGTTCGCCAAGGCCTACGAGAAGGGTCTGAACAAGGCCGATTACTGGGAGCCCACCTTCGATGACAGCATCTCTTTGCTTGCCAAGATCCCCCGTGTCGCCGCCTTGGTCTTCCGCCCCAATGAGATCGACACTGTCGGCACCCAAGCTCTCGACGTGAACCAGGATTGGTCTTACAACTTCGCGGAGCTCCTCGGCAAAGGTGGCCAGCAGAACCAGGACTTCCATGATTTGCTGCGTCTGTACCTGGCTCTTCACGGTGACCACGAGGGCGGTAACGTGTCCGCCCACGCTACCCACTTGGTTGGAAGTGCTCTGAGCGACCCCTTCCTGAGTTACAGCGCGGGTCTCTTGGGTCTGGCCGGACCTCTGCACGGTCTTGCTGCCCAGGAAGTCCTGCGATGGATCTTGGCCATGCAGGACAAGATCGGAACCAAGTTCACTGAGGAGGATGTCCGTACCTACCTCTGGGACACCCTGAAGTCGGGTCGTGTCGTCCCTGGCTACGGCCATGGTGTCCTCCGCAAGCCCGACCCCCGTTTCGAGGCTCTCATGGACTTTGCTGCCACTCGCCCTGATGTTCTGGCCAACCCTGTCTTCCAATTGGTCAAGAAGAACTCCGAGATTGCCCCTGGCGTTCTTACGGAACATGGAAAGGTAAATGATCATTTCAGTGTTTTCCAAGCTACGTATGCTAACGATACTAGACCAAGAACCCCCACCCCAATGTTGATGCCGCCTCTGGTGTGCTCTTCTACCACTATGGATTCCAGCAGCCCCTGTACTACACCGTCACCTTCGGTGTCAGCCGTGCTCTGGGCCCTCTCGTCCAGCTCATCTGGGACCGTGCCCTCGGCCTGCCCATTGAGCGCCCTAAGAGTATCAACCTCCTGGGCCTCAAGAAATGATTGACGAATTTCAATCTTCGCGTGTAAAAAAATGTTTGAATGATAGCGTATCTTGATATCCGCAATGGACGTGTGTTCTTATTTTGTTGACGGTTTGCCTTTGTTCTCTTGTTTGCGGGGATTGATTTCCCTGCGTCTAGCAATATGCCCAATTGCATAGACGCCAGATAGACTTTTAGAGAATAGAACTATATCGGATTTTCTGGTTTTATTTTTCGCCCATGACGCGACTTCACGTTCAACCTTCGCCTAAATCTTTCCTCGACTGGCAGGAGCGCTTTGCTGGCAATTTGGCCTTGAGTGTTGTTTAAGTTGCGATTCTCAAAGATTTCTCTAAATTATCGATTTGAAAATTGATAGGTAATTCCTATGCAAATTCTTCTAGATAAATATCATTTTTCTTTTTAAATTATCAAAAGCGTTGCATACTCAAGATAACCCTGCTGGGGACGTAAAAGTTGTTCGCCCTCCTAAATTTATATATTCCGATGCACCTCAGCATTATCATCGTAAATGAATGAACCACCACTTACCATTTACGAAAAGAGATACTAGGATCGAAGCAACTACCTATAGAATCATAGAAGTGTCACCATATCTATTATGATTGAACTCTTTTCTTAAGAAAATAATCTTGTTACATTTTGTTGAGGGCCGATGGATGACCATAACATGGATTGAAATAGGGATTCCTGAAATGGTTGGCCGTTTATTGAGTACGAGCAAACAACTTGCACCCCAGCTTGGCAAAAAAGTCCACTTGAAAAAAGTATTACAATCGTGCTGATGACTGTACAACACAATCCAACACTGGCGATACAGTCATGCTGTAAATAGAACTAGGATTATCCTTTCGCAGGTTCCTTCACATATCACAAAGGAACAATTCGAAACAGCATAGTTACAGAGCTTATGTGGCTATTTCTGACCGCAGGTTAATCCTAGTTGTAGGCTTTCTTGCCGGCCTTTTATTGATGGGTCCATAAAGGTGAGGCGATTCGAGAAACACCAGGATGATTGGCCGAAGAGACATTCATACTAACACCAAGTGCGGTCGGGCGCTGGAAAGCTGCGAAGAAATAGCTGCAGGGGTACCCAACCCAGTATCACGCGTCAGCAATTCACAAGTTATTACGTTGACTTCGGCTGTTTTCGTCTTTCTACCTGTTCCATGTGTGATTACTATTATAGGGAGCTCTAGCTCATACTACTAAGATGAGTTCGTTGTTGGAGTTAGATTGCTAAGCTGGTAGTAGATTTCTATCTGAAATTTATAGCACAGCTGAGGGAAGGCATGGCGAAGAGACAAACCTCGATGGATCACACAACGAGCGGCCTTTTAGCATTTGCGGCGACTACGAGTGTCCGTCTTTCGAGGAAACCGTCCTTACTTCGTCGAGTAGAACTGGCCGATGTTGTCACATTAACGCCAATAATAGTACCGGCCGAAGGAGAGGTGATTGCAGTGCAGGTGTTGTCGACGCTGAACCGATGGGCTATGATCGAAGACACCACCGGACATATAAGTGACTTGGTGGAAGGTGATATTGTCGCGGCTGTCCTCGCAAAGCGACGTTCCTTTCAGGTCTTCAGCTGTGATATCCCCTCCAGACTTTCACCGGGGGATATTCTGTCTTATGTTAGCAAGAGCGGAATAGTGGGGGCGGCCGAGGCCCCCCTTAACGATAAAGAGATACCGGTTCAAGTCCGAGTACTCGGTAGTATACTGAAAGCAGGGGCTCCTGTTAACATTAAACATTCAGCAATCCCCAGATGCCAAACCCTAAGCCAGTCGGCACCTATAGTGGTAGTCGCCGGTACCGCGTCAAACACCGGAAAGACCACCACAGTCCGGAATATAATCCAACACCTCAAGTCCAGAGGACTCCGAGTCGCCGGCGCCAAATTATCTGGAGTCGCCCTCTGGGGCGAATTGCGTTGTTTGGCTGCCACAGGGGCTGATTTAGTTCTGGGTTTCGCTGATGGTGGGTTACCCACCACTTGCGGTGACCCAACTGAGGTAGTGGAGGTGTCGCTGGGCATCCTACGTGAGCTCAACAAAATTAATCCTGATGTTATTGTTGTCGAGTTCGGGTCGTGTCTCCTTGGATTTTACAACATCATGACCGTTTTGGATTCACCGCAGTTCCGGCAGCATGTAGCCTCCCTCGTTCTTACGGCGAGTGACACCGTTGCGGCTTGGGGTCTGAAACGTCTGATGGAAGAGCACAAGGTTGATATTACTCTGGTTACAGGCCCTGTGGTAAACAACATAACCTATGTGGGTTACATCGAGAGGGAACTGGACTTGCCGGCTGAGAGCAACACAGGTCCCATGCCGAAGACGTTCCAGTTGATAGATGCGAGGCTCAATGAAATTGGGAGGGAGACGGCAAAAACAGAAATGGCGTTTTTGTAGTAGCCTATTATCAGAGGTTAATCTAGTTCTTCTTGCTTAACAGCCAACATCAGGGAAAAACTTCATGTGCACCTTGAGGACGCCACAGTTTCAGATGTTCTTATACTACAATGTGATTGATTGTACCTTTGAAACCATTAACAGACAAAGCAATTTTGCTTTTCTCAAAGGAATTGGGAAGGTATAAACCCCATATGGCTTCTTTGTTTGTTGACAACAAAGATGAAGGCTGGATGTAGTCCACACCGTGTTCAGCCATCGTTTCACAAAGGGTAGGGCTTCCGCTGGTTCATATCACGGGATTCACTGAATGAAGCCAGTGGAACCAACCTATCATCTACGGTTCCACGTAGAGACCTGCAGTGAATATGTAGTAGATATTAAATTGCAGGACGCTCCAGATGACCCAATGGGGGCTGATAAACTGGAGCTTCAGAGCTGGGTATGTGACTTTCCATCCCAAATAGCTCACAAATTCACTACAAGGAGATAGCCTCAAATGGGATATAAAGTGCCTCTAGAGCCTGTTAACTGAAAGTCTTGATTCATTTCATAGAGAAAACAGTTGAGCGCCTATCTACTGCGAAAATGTTGTTCTTCGCTGCTTTTGCCGTCTTTATGACCTTGATTTCCACCGCCCTCAGTCAACCCGTCGATGACATTTCACCTCGCAGTATCGGAGGCGTCAAGATTGTCAATAGCCTGTCCGCTCCAATCTACACCTGGTCCGTGGCCGATAAAGAAGGCAGGATGTATACGCTTCCTGCCAGGGGTGGTACTTACGAGGAAATATGGCGTGTGAATCCTAAAGGGGGCCGCATCTCCATTAAAGTGTCAACAAAGCCTGACCTAAAAGCGAATGATGTCATACAGTTCGAGTATGAAATGAAAGGCGACAAGGTCTATTGGGATGTCTCATGTGCTGACCTCCACCTACCCTCTGAGTTTACTACGCGTGGCTTTTCTGTTCAGCCCTCATCCAAAGACTGCCCCTCCATCAGTTGTGCTGCTGGTGATGAGAAGTGTTCTCAGGTTCATCCGTGGTCAGAAGCAATCCATAGTTGCGCTCTCGTCACCTCCTTGACGTTCAAGCTTTAAGCTACCGATACGCTGCGATGGACTGGGGATAATATTCTTCATTGTACTTACTTTTGGCCAATAGTTCTGAATACGACTAGGATTATAGTTGATCTAAGTCCAGGTTGGGGGGCGGGGGCCTTGTCTCTGGAGGATATGCATTGAGCGACATATCTGAATAAACAGTTTCTGAATCAAATATGACTTGACATTGGCAGTTGAATGGCACTTGAGTTGAAATACTTACAGCCATGAAAGTACACACATAGATAGACCTATTGTACAGTATGCTCTTCTGGTGGAATATCCCCAATTTGTAGTTGACTTTGGCTCCTTGCTGCCTGAGGCAGACACTCCGTGGAGAGAAGACGGGCTAACCTGAAACGGATTGGCTCGCAATCGGCTTCCCGCACGATGTCTGTGCCCGTGTCGCCTCGTCCCTCCGAACAATTGACCGATGCAAGATGTCACTGCCAATGAATACATATACTTCAGCAAGATGAGTGATGCAATTAGAGCTCGTCGAATATTACGCAAAACATTTGCGTGCGATGAGTGTAAACGGCGAAAAGTTCGATGTTCCGGCGATGATACTTGCTCCAACTGCGTCAGAGATGCAAAAGCATGCCGGTACTCGTCCCCGTCGCAAAAATTATCGTCACTGCAAAGGTGAGGCTATCTGCCGCGGGTTTGAATTATATTATCCGACCTTTAATTTTTGGATGGCCGGAATATTTTAACTTACATACCCTGCTTAAGGCGTCTTCAGGAATATGAACAACTTCGGCAGGACATGGAAAAGGCCTGGAGGACGTACCTCCCGACAGTTGATCTGCAAGAAGCACTTCGGACTGTACGAGAGAGCCGCCAGGTAGCTCTGGTAAATACAAGCCAGGAGAATAAGCTGAGTACGGAGGTGGAACACCATACTGAGCAACTCCCGACAAACTTCACCGAACACAGCAATGCAGAAGACTATGAATTTGACGAATCTCAAGACTTCGATAACTCAATCGACGGTATGGGCTTCTTAACTGCTGATCCACATAAAGCTGGATATACAGGGCCGCAGTCTGGCATAGCTGCCTTAAAATTCTTGCAGTCTCTTCCCCTGTACCTTCCACTGAACAGCGTGAACACGCCTTCATCCTTGGATGAGGATGATTTTCCTGCCGTGCGATCTCAGTCAACGGCTACAGTTAGCCGTTATATTGATGACTATTTTGCTCTCTACCATCCCGCATATCCTATCTTACATGAAGGGACCTTCCGTGCGCGAATATCAGGTAAGCCTTGTACTCGAGGCTGACATATCAAATTTACTAAGCGATTAAAGGTGCCCTGGCTAAGCCGCGGGACGGCTCGTGGCCGCTATTATATAACACAGTTCTCGCCATCGGTGCGTTCGTGGGCGATTCTAATGCGACTAAATGCGATATCCCTTTTTACAAGGAAGCGCGTAGACACCTAACGATGGATGTCCTCGAGAAAGGGTCTTTGAGCTACGTGCAAGCTATTGTTATAATGGCGAATTACTTACAAAAACGCAACAAGCCTAACGCGGGGTTTATTCTTATTGGCATCGGCTTCAGCATGGCTCTCGCTATCGGCTTGCACCGCGAATTTGGCATGCCAAGCACGTCGCCTTTCACCATGGAGATCCGCCGCCGCGTTTGGTGGACACTGTTTGTCTTCGTTTCTGGGGCTCAGTTAACTCTAGGGAGGCCTGCAGTGTCCTTAGTCGGAGTGAACATTCGCCTCCCGTCAAATCTGGATGACCAGGATATTGCGGTCGATATGGAGCATTTGCCCGAGTGCAAGCCCGGGCCCACTATCACGTCTGCTCTCATTGCTCAAGTGAAGCTAGCTAAGATTGCAAATGCCGTTCAGGTGGAGCTTCTCACGCACCACGTTCCACGATATGAGAAAGCTGTAAAACTCGAAGAGAGTATTGGGAATTGGTGGAAAGACCTACCCCCATATTTCAACCAAGACGTCAATCTGGAACCGCACTTGGAGTTGCCGAAGAGGGTCCTTTTATGGAGGTCGTTTCACCTGCGTATCGTGCTCAACCGGCCCTTTTTATTCGAAGCTATAGCTACACGATCAGCCATCAGTACATTGGAGGGCCCGATCAAGTCGTGCCTCGCTGCAGCTGACGAGTGTGTCACGTCTATATGTGGATTCCTCAATCATACGGATAGTAGAAAAAGAGGTCTGGCGTGGTATGCGACGTATTGGTTAATCACGGCGAGCTTTGTGCAGGCCACTTGCTATATCTACAGCCCCACTCATACTATGTCTCCGTCATGGAAGGCACATCTCCAACAGGCTGTAGATTGCCTCGAGAGCCTTGGATCATCGCATGACATGGCCTTCCGCGCACGGAATGTGTTACAGAAGCTCCTTGGTGAGCATACCTACCCCGTCTTCCCGATCTATTTTGCCACAGGGTTCATAACTAACCTAAGTAGAACAAGGGCATGGTGGTGACTTGACTCAAAATATTAGCCCGAATCCAACAACGGCCTTGTCACGCCCTTCTCGTGCCCTCTGGGCCCCGCCACCCGGTGCTCAAAACCAAGCAATATACAACCCGTTATCGATGGGGCTAGAGGATAGCTTTACGTGGTATCCGCAGGGCATGTCTAATGCGGAGCTTCTTGACGCGGCGGGAGGCTTCATGATTCAAAATTTCTTCGAGGGCTCAGAAGGACATTCAGGAACGAGCCCATGGATGCCAATGTGATCATCATCCGCTTGACACATGAACTCTTGAGTTGGCCACGACCTGTGTCTCTACTTTCTAGTCACCAATTATCTAGATACCCTAGGCTCAGCCAACAACTTGCGGATGCGGGCACGTCGATACTATAGCATGCACTCGGACAGGCCAACTAAAATACATGCATATAGCGCAAATGATCGGTGACATCGACACCTAGCACTCCTTGGTCGTATCCAAACAGCAGGGCAGCCAGTTTGTATACATATCATGGATCCCTTTCCCAGGTCATTGAGGGATCATTCCCCGCGGGTGGGTGTATCGATTTCGTCGGAGTGACCACATTTTGATCTTCCCCGACCTGGTCACTTTCTCGTGCGATATATGAACTCCGCAATTTGAAGTATTCTACGAATTCTGGGTGAAGCCGTCCGGGGTAAGGAGTAGTTCTCAGGTGATATACTTCCCCACGTTGTGTGTTGTTCGGTTTCGGCGCTATCTCCGAGCCCGGTCCCCACTGAGGGACACCATTGTACATCAGCTGCTCGGAGATATTCGCGAGAAACCTTATTTTCTGTGGATCTTTATCATGCTTCATTGCGCCTGAAAGTCGCATAGAGTGGGTGGAAGACCTGCTGGTTTGGACCGCTGGACCCCTCATGAATAATCGGGTAAGGACAGGAATATAAGTATTTAATTTTCTACTTGTTCGAACCTCACGTACGGCTTACCCAAAGTTCAACAAGCAACACTACAAGCCCTAAACACCATGTCTCTCAAAGGAAAGATTGCCCTAGTTACAGGCGGAGCGAGAGGAATCGGCGCCGGAATAGTTCGTGCTTTAAGCGAACAAGGAGCAAAGGTATGTGAACTACCGTTTCACGATTTTATTCATCAACAGGATTCTTACGAAGAACAGGTCGCATTCAACTATGTTTCCCCATCGTCACGTACAGCTGCGGAATCTCTTGTCGAGTCTTTACGGAATAACGGCCATGAGGCATTCGGTATACAAGCAGACCTGGCTGATACCCAGGCCCCAGCGACCCTTGTGTCCGCAATTTTGTCTGCCTTCCAAACCACCCAGATCGACATACTCGTCAACAACGCCGGAGCAGGCGACAACAGACCTCTAGAAGAGGTAACTCTTGAAAGCTATAACAAGCTGATGGATATCAACGTCCGCGCCGTGGTCTTCATGACCCAGGCCGTTCTGCCCTACATCCCTCGTGGCGGCCGCATCATCAATCTCTCTTCTATCTCCGCGAGAGGCGGCTACCCAACACAGTCTGTGTACGCTGCCACCAAAGCTGCTGTTGAGGGTCTCACTCGCGTATGGGCTACCGAGTTGGGCCACAAGTATGGTGTCACAGTTAATGCCGTGAACCCGGGTCCCGTCGATACCGACATGTACCAGGCTGCCGGACCTGTCCATCTCGCCAGGATGGAAGAGCAGAATAAGAAGGTACCTGCTGGCCAGCGCTGCGGCACTACTCAGGATATTGCGGATATTATTACATTCCTGGCGGAGGAAAGATCTAGGTGGGTCACTGGGGATGTGATCTGTGCGAATGGGGGGATGCTGTATACATGATGTTAAAATAAGTTGTCCGATATTACAATGGCTTCTACAATATATCTCTCATAAATGCAGCCAAGCTTTAGGCCGAAGTTTATTCAGTATGTTGATGTTTGCGACTCTAGTATTAGAACAGTGGCTTTCTCGTTCATCTAGTACTTGTACAATTTGACGTTGATATAAGACGAATGTTACTCTCGTCGCCTTATTTCCAGCCCTACGGCGTGAATATTCATGCATGCTGGCGTTCTGTATTTCTATAACAGCTAAGAGAGCTACATCATCCTGTTTGATCTCTCTAACTCTTTCTAGCAGGGTGCCTAATAGCCAAATAAGACTTGGTCCAGAACATATTACCCACGGTGTATGCATCCAGCCTTAAGACCTAGAAGGCAGAATATACGCCTACAGCTATACTGAACATCCAGATTACAAATTCCATATACCAGGCCATGCATTTCCCAAATTAGCAGACACAAGTAGAATATCTACAGAAGTGAAACCCCAATCAAAAAGAAAAAAGAACCAAGCACATCTCCATTTTTATACACCCCCAACTACTCCCACTCCTCACTCTATTACACACGCCATCATCCATAAAAAACAAAAAAACAAATCTAATCATCCAAAATCTGCACCTTAATAGCCTTCGAAGCAGGGTTACTGGCCGTTTCAAACGCCTTGACCCCATCCTCCAACGCGTACCGATGCGAAACCAACGGTTTCAGATCGATAATACCAGCCGCAACGAGACTAATCGCCTTGGGATAGATATCGTGATATCGATACTGCCAGCGGAGATCGATTTCCTTGGCGGAGAGATGCATGAAAGGGATAGATTGGAAATCCTTGCCGACGCCGATAACGAAGACTGAGCCGCCGAAACGGGTGGACTGTTGCCGGGTCAATCAGTTACCTGCTTTTGGATAATGGGGATGAAGGAGGGGAGAAAAAAGGGGGGGGGGGGGGACGTTACGTATATTCCAGCATGGATGCTGGACTCTACACCCGTGCATTCTATCACCAACTTTGCCTCCTGGCCTAGCGTCTCGATGATTCTGCCCGCGATAGTCTTGGGAGTGTCGTCTCTTGTGACCGTCACTGGTCTAACACGAGGAACCAGTTCCTTTGCCTTTGCTAGACGGCCTTCGTCCAGGTCTGTGATGACGATCGGTTCTGCGCCCGCTGCGTTGGCGGCGAGGAGAGTGACCAGGCCGATGGGTCCTGCGCCGCAGATCACCAGGGGGTCGGCGAGGCGGAGGCCGGAGCGGTCGATTCCTGCTAGGGCGACGGTTAGGGGTTCCAGAAGGGCGCCTTCTTCGAAGGAGATGTTGTCGGGCAGATGGTGCAGCCATGCCTCGGGGTGGGCGTGGTATCGTCGGAGAGTGCCGTGGTGGGGAGGCGTGGAGAAGAAGACCACGTCCGGACAGGCGTTGTACTGGCCTGTTCGGCAGAAGTAGCAGGTGGGTTTGGAGCAGGGGATGCCGCATTCCATGGCGACTTTGTCGCCTTTTGCTTTTGTTAGTATTTAAGGCTTCTAATGGCTGGTGGTAAACGGGGACGTGGTTAGATGGCTTACCCGGCTTGAACCGAGTCACGTCCTTGCCGACTTTGAGAACTACTCCGGCACTCTCATGGCCCAGGCCGTTGTCCCCTGTTACGACCATGTCGCCGATGTGGCCATGTTTCCAGAAGTGGACATCGGAGCCACAGATGCCAGTGGCGCGGACGTGGACGAGACACTCGTTGGGTTGGATCTCGGGGATGTCTGATTTCACTAGGCGGAGGTCGTTGGCGGGGCTGGTGTGGATGGCATGGTTGTAGGGTTTGCGGTCGAGGATGTCCATTTTGGATATATATACGTATGGTATTGATTGAACTGGTTTATTATTTCTGGAATGGTCATAGGAGAGCTACTTATATCTTGCTCGGAGGCCGACGTTGGAGAACTTGACGAGCTGCCATATTGGAGAGACTTCTCCATCATCAGGTGGACTGGCTCTTCGGACGTACCACCGAATTGGAGGGTTGCTGGCCAATATTCATGCTACGCTCTTGCAGAGGATCATGCGTTGTCTTGCAAACCGAGTAATGATTCTCAGGGTCTGCGACTGCAGTCACTTGCGAAAGCCACGTCGGGGTCATCTCCGAGGGGCAGGAAATATACGGTTCCTGGCTGATGTCTACCACTTCGGAATTCTCCCGAGCACCATAGCAATGCATTTTGAGTAGGTTTATCCACACTGAACAGCTTGTTGAGGGCGAATACATACTGCACGCCCTGGTTCATGGTATTGGTCTAGAATTATCTGCCCCGCACCAAGTGGTTAACAAGCGGGGTGCTAATTAGCTACCCTACTCCACACTCTACGAGATATTGCGACTGTGCCCATACTACAAGACAGGATTTTCAACATGCTCGTACAGGACTCTCGTCCAGGAATGAACAAGCACGATGTCAAAGAGCTACCAGAGTGATCGGGTCTATTTTGTTGGTGTTCTGTGCGAGTGTCCTGCAGCATGCTCCGGCTCTGGCTTAACCGAGGCTGTATTCTATAGCGAGGCTCCATTCCTCTTTCTTTTCCAACCAGGCATTTCAGACTATACTTGGTTTTACAGTGCCTTCCTTCATATATTGAGGGCATACTTATGAACTTATCCCAAATGACGGCAGCATTCAAGGACTGGAGCCTTGTACCAGCTAGTCAGTAAAGTGCGAGACACATTTCGCAGGAATATGAAGAATATTGAGCCTACATCATGGACTATCTTCCCTACAAATGACGAAGAAGCTACTGGAGAAGCACATAGTAGTTATCTAAACCTGAGGAAGACAAGCAGTCGTTCTTTTCGAGAGGATACTATAGCATAACCATATGACTTGACTTGTTTGCTCGATATTCTCAATCCCTGAGCCATATGATGCGAGCTAATCAATTTGGCCCTGTAGAAGCATTTCTTTTACTGGGTGTATATAGCAGTCAGACACAAAGGTATTGCTCCTCGCTTTGCTCACCAGCAGTTCCTTGGCCACATCAAATCCACACAGCCTTATATACTCCAATCCCATCTCTTGAGGAATCCTTCAGCAATCCCCAATTTCTTAGACCAGCAGACTAGTACAAAGTCCCACAGTGCCAGTTCTCTGGAAGGCTAGTGTTACCGGTACCATTGTACAGCGCGAGCTGGGGATAAGGACAGATAGGTCTTTGAATCTCCACGCCATCAGCAGGATCATCATTCCACCACTTCGTAGGGATAAGATAATCCGGCGTGGTCCCGTTCTCCACCCAGTCCATGATCGCCAGAACAATGTCATGCTTCGAATCATTGAAACCAGGAACACCCCAGTGGGTACCACTCAGCGAGCCGCTTTGGTCCGCACCGTTGAAATAGTACGGGGCGTTCTGATCCGCCGGCGAGAACGTGCAGTGCTCCATACCCGGGACGGGAAAGAAACGATAGAATGACTCAATCGGGATCCCCTTCGGCTTAAGGGCCTCCACAACGTGGTTGAAGAAGTAGAATGAGGAGCCCGTTGCGATGCTTGGATCCGAGTATCCGTGATAATGGATCAGTTTGCCGCCCTTTTCGTAAAAGGGAGAGATGTTGAAGTTGTCGGCGGTCGCATTCCCGGGGTTGAGCTTCTCAGAGAGTGCGATCAACTCTTGGCTGTTCCAGTCCTCCCAGGTCCAGTCGCCGCCAAGCTGGAGCATATATTGGATGTACGTGACGAAGTCGGCGTCGAGGGATGGGGCGCCAACTTCGGTACCAAGAGTGTACCCGGGAAAGACGAAGGTGTCGTTCGCGTCCACCCAGGGGTTGAAGAGCTTGTTGACTGTGCCGATTTGCGGGGATGTAAGGCAAGTATCGTTGCTAGACGTCGAGTTACAAGCCAGGGTGGTAATGTCCAAGACACAACCAAAGGGATTCTGGAGGATATTGTCCTTCACGCCGTCTTGGGGATCACACTGCTTGAGAATCTCGGCAGCAACAGCAGACATCTGATCACTTGTGACATGGTAGTCTGCCGTTTCGGGGAGGTTCCAGATGGCTGTTAGGACGTTCCAGAGCTGCTGATGGGAGGTCCACCATGCGGGAGCACCAGCAATGACACCGTCGAAGTCCTCGGGATATTCTTCGACTTCCTTCAGACCCTGCTTACCACCGGCAGAGCAGCCACGGTAGTAAGAGCATGAAAATTTCCTTCCCATAATAGCCCTCCGTTAACGCCTTGCCATTCACGACGGCATTGTGGAGGGCAACGTGGCCCCAGTTCTGCAGAGCCTGTTCATTGTGATAGCCGAAGCTACCGTTGTTCCCCTCGTGGCCAAGATCAGACGAAACGACAGCAAAGCCGTACCAGGAGAGAGACGATAGCGTCCCAGCCAATTGAGCCGGAGAATTCACCGTTGCCATTGGCGAGGAAGCGGCCGTTCCAGTCGTCCGGTAGAACGAAGCCAACACTATGCTGGGTGTTGTTTGGCAGGGTGATGTTCGCTTGGGCGATGCATGCAGCAACGGGAAGCTCATAGGCGCTGATACCCCTGGGGCTGGAAGTTGAGCCATAGTTCAGGCTAACTGGTGGGGTGAAATTGTAGTGAGCTGGGTAGTCGTTGGCATAGAAGACTGTTGAGTTTTCGGGAAGCAACTCAGTCAAGCGGGCCACGGTGCAGTTCTTTGCTGCGTACACACCGGCGACCAGCCCTGCCAGAGGGAGGATGGACCACTGCATGTTGGATTGATGACCTGATGTCACCGAGGCTATTGGTCCGTGAAAAGAACGCAGCAAGTTGATGGTTTATGAGGGAGTCTGGGAGTGCAAGTGCCCCGGTTATAAAGAACCGTTTGAGGAGCCGGAATTTCTCTTCTTCTGTCATTCTAACCCGGCAGTCTAGAATTTGGAGAGATTGCAGTCATAGCTCACTGTATAGTGCCCAAGTTTCATTCTGGACGCGCGTTCACATTGGACCATGATACATAGATTATCGATAATTTAGTAACTTGATGTGGGGTTTCCGCAGACCCAGTCCATCGTGAAACGAGAGAGCGTACGTACGTACCTGCATTACTGCGTAGATCGGGTTTCGAGAAGGAATACACAGGCTCGGACTTTATTTCTTGAGCCAAATTGTTTATTTGCGGAGACCAAGCCTATTGAGGCAGTTGTGGACGGCGATCTGTGGATCCTTTTGAGCTTGGATGTTCATCGTCGGAGTACATCTGGTGGCAAACTTCAATCGTATGGCCTTAGTAAAGGCCATCACCAGCTCACTGATCGTGTAGATGGTCAGGGAGTCTCGGTGATCGTAATGGGTCTCTGTCTTGGTCTCCTTCATCTTTTGCAGATGTCTTTACATGGGTGGTCGTACTTTTGATCCGGCTCGCACCATTGGATTGCCCTAGTGGGTCAAGAAATAAACATACATTATGCAAAACACTATCATGCGGTGGTTCATTCTCCTTTGCACAGCTTCTAGGAACTTAATATACCATAAAGAGAACCCCAGAAGTACCCCTAATCCGAGAAATCTCTTCAGGAGCAATGTGGCTGGCCGTATGGCATTCAAGAGACTGAGCTGAAGGTAACTTGTAAGGTCACCTAGGAGTGGATTGAACGTGGTGATCCAGATTACAGACTAATAATGCTGGGTGTGAGTCTGGCCAAATGGATGAAGGGTAGAATGGCCCCAGTTTTTATCTTCGATACCAGGCTCTATATTGGTGGCGCCGGCAAAACAAAGGAAGAAACTCTTAGATTTTCTAGCTATATACAGTCTTTATTTTACTCTCCAAGGATCTGTCAACTAGATATCTTCCAGGTTTGGCCTGCGTAAAAGCATCTTAAGTCCAGCCGGAGGTAACATGACCAATAATATGAAGGAAAAGGTGGTTGAAAGTTCCTAAATAGGTTAGGATCGATGGGATCTTTGATGCCCTTCCAGCAAAGAAACATGGGCATTTCCATGTTTCACCGTGAAACAACTTGTCAGGCGAGAGATACTTGTCCTAATACTTGATGTGGTTCTCTCGATTACGCTTGTTAAACAATAATCATTCCGCTCGCAGCAAAACCTGAGCCTTTACAAAGGGCCCATTATCTTGAATGTATTTTTACGGGGCTACATCGCCACACAAAGCTCGGTATCATCTTGTTTTCCCTTTCTTTGAAGATCAAACGTGGCGAAAGGGATACCATTGAGTTCATTGATATAACGGAACGATCTGAAGTAGATAAAGATAAACAACTGCCCATTCTTCTGGCAATATACCCATCTATCTACCTAGCACAGCACCTTGATCTTTGTTTCCCCTCTAACCTCTGCCTGGAACAACAATGAGTCTCAAACTCTAGGGCCTACTCCTCCTCGCCACCGGTGCATTTGCGAAATGCCGGCAAAGTGACGAATATCCGGAATGCTAATGGAACGGAAGCGCGACTTTTTGTAGGAGCACAAAGGACGGTAGTGAGGTCTTTGCCAAATGAGGGACGAAGTTCAGTATTGGTACTCCATCATAAGAGAACCACCAGTCAAAATAAGTGAATCATGCATGAAGAATTTGGTCTTACTTGCCACAGGTTCTACCAGAAAGCCCTCTGGTGTAAATCAAAGTGTTGAACCTTCTCGTCTCTTTCGGTGTTTCAGGTTCGTGTTTCACTTCCTCCTTTGTTCTGTAGTGTGGCTAATGGGCTTTCTGTGCTAGATATTTTTATGATATATAAACGGCGAGGTAGCCAGTCTGTCCTTGTGCTAATTTCATCATCTGATTTTATATTGATGTTATATCGTTCTATCAACTAGCCGGCCGATATACAATCACCAAACGATCATGTACCTCACACTATGGGTCTTAGCACTGTTTGTTGCGTATGTATCAGCCAAGGGCGAGGTACGGACATGTTACCAGAACGAGACGTACCCAGATTGCGGATGGTACGGTGAAACGCACTCTGCCTGTGATGGGACCTTGGAAAGCGACCGCCCCGCGTCCAGACCATACCTGATAGCACACACAGTAGGAAAGGGAGAGGACACCCTTGACGGTGTTAGCGATAAATGCCTTAAGGAGTACGGCCATGGATGCCGTTGGCCCTATAACGCGAAGGGGCAACAGAAAGGAAAGCTCCTGTACTGCGCAAAAGCAGAGGAGCAACAGGACACATAATGGTATGTTGGATTTCACAACTTGCTGTGCTCTTCTGCTGACTTTGTTGTTAGATATAGTTTTCGCCCTGTCTTGCTCACATATGAGTTCCACTGGGGGTGGAGATCCTGTGTTGTCTGTGTGTTGGTGCTCTGGGATTCTGTAGCCAGGAAGGCCTTGAAGTCCCGACAAGGGACGTAAAAGAATAGCATACCTGAATTGTCATGGACGGGCTCAGTTGTGTTGCTCGTTGTTATGTGTTATGTGGACTAGTTCGCTTACTCTATCTACTAGTCAAAAAATATGCGACGGTGTGCCTTTTTTCATCATGGCTGTATCGAGTAGAACCATTCTTCTGCAGAGAGGGCACTTTGAGAAATTTTCGTCCATATGGAGTTTGATTGGTATTCCAATTGTATTGATCTACACTTTTGGAGTATATCTTGATGATCATATAGCCATGGCCCTTGATAAATGCCAGTCTAGTATCCTGTACCAAGAGTTACATATCAATATCAGTGAGTAGATGTCTACATATTTTACAGCTGTCATATAGTCGTATCTGAAACTAACGCGCCTTTGAACAACTTCTCAGTAGACACTGTGATTTCATATCCGTGCCAAATTATTCCATAGAGCACCTAGAAAGCAACCATCCCCCACTCTGCAACGTCTGAAAGACGCCATCAGGATCATACTTGGAAGCAACAGCCTTCAGCCTCGCCACATTCTCCGCCCCATAACTAGCCAATGGATCCTGATCCCGCGCGGCATAATTGCAATACTGGTAGGGAAGATACGTCCCATTGGCTTTTGCAGTCGCCTCAGCGGCGTCTACTATGCGACGCATCGCTTGGCGCACCCGGTCTCCGTCTGCAGGGTCATTCCAATCGGCCACCACCAGAAACCCTGGATCTGATTAGCTAGTTTTTGCACCAAGGCAGAGGTGACATACACTGCTGGTCAACCTCCTCCAGCCCTAATGGGTTTCCGCCGAGTCTCTTGCTCTGCTTGATGCCCATTGAGGAAATCGGTTGGATTACGTTCGTGAGCCTAAGTCCTGCGACATCGCTTAGCGCATCCGTCTGCTCCACGCGGACTCTCTCGGCGGCTTGATAGACGTCCATGGGACTTGCCGCTGGGCTTCGTATGCACTGGAGCCGTCTATCACGGCATGGTCGCCGAAGAGCGGGAACACTCTGTCCACGAAGGATCCGCGCTGGTCGTCCTTTCCGGCGGGAGACAGACTGACAAACTGAGCGAAGAGGCTCTCGACCTGGGGTATGTTGCTTGGATCCAGGTCGGCCCCGTTGACGATTGCCGCAACGCTGGGTAGAGAGGCCATGATATCCATATTGACCGGGATACAACAAGGACTTCGATTCTACGAGAAGCACAGAGAGATAAGATGATATATTCTAGCATGCTTGCGACCATGTATATAATGCCTGATATAGCGGGGGTAGCCATTGCTAAACGTGAACGCATGCTATAACATGAGGTTACAGCCATAACTCGACATCGTGTGGCACAGCATCTGCATGAAGCTAAGCAGCTGCAGCCAGACCTAACAAAAACCAAGGTAATGCGCATACTCCTCTATGCAGATTTGGCCCATTCACCTACATGATTACATTGCAACTTAGACAATGTCACCACCTACTCGATGCAGAATCCGTGCGATTGAGCAGGGATATGCTGCGCCTAGACCCAGAACTAGTATCGCCTCGGCTAATTGACAGGGGTTTAATTAAGCCTTTGGATAAATGGGCTTTACTTTTACGAGACACCGTACAGAAATGTCCTGGACTGTGGGTACCTGATCTGCATTATGCCTGTCTTGGTAGGAGGATGACAACACACCACCGCTTAGACTTTGTGTCTGGCTGATAGTATGACATAATGGTATTAGATCTGGTTCCATGATTGCTATTGGCAGCTGGGATGTGGTCTCACCTTACTGTAAGCTCTGCTGTGGGGAGCTATAAATGGGCCCAGTGCCGGGCGAGTTCGCTTGATCGTTAGTCCTCGACAGCATGCGACCAAATCCAGACTGCCAACCACGGCCATGGGTCAGAGTGTCTATCAGACATACGATTGAAGATACCAAAGTCAATTCCCTATCACCACACATCTTAATAGCTTGTATAATACACAAGAAAGTCTATTCCACAATACAGCCATTAAGAATAATATACAATCATAACCCCATACCACAAAAGAAACCCCAATTACTCCAGCAATGCCTACTAACACAACACAGACCCAAGATTAAATCCCATTAATTCCTCTCAACCGTAACCTCCATAACCTTATGAATGCCCCTCTCTTGGTCGCCCACGGTGGCAAACATGCCCTGAGGGTTTCCCAAGATATGTTCCTCGGAGTCATTATCCGCGCTCACTTTCGACGACGAGATCATCGTCCTATGCGGCGTGCTGTTATCGTACGGCCGCATGCCCTCCGGGACATCGTCTCGCCCCAGAGTGCTGAGACCGTTTTCCGGCTCGTTTGGCGGTTCCCCGACGTGAGGGGGTAATCTTGTCCTGTGGGGCGGCGGCGGTAGGAGCTGATGGTGGAGACGAAGACGCGGAAGTAGGGGCCGTAGGTTGGGACGCAGGCGATTATTACCTTTTAAGTTGGGTTATGGGATGTTAGTTTTGGGGAGTTATGGAGTGGGAGGGATTGAGGGTGGACGGACTGCTAGGCTGATCTCGACGATGGACCAGAGAATCACCGGTTTGCTGTCCGTGTAGGTCTTTAGTCGCGCGATGGTGAAGATGCGGATTATCTGGATGATTGTGACGAAGAAGCCGATGGCGAAGACGCAGCAGAGGGCGACCTGGGGTATTGGAGTTAGGTCAGTGGACTCTTGTGGTAGGTGGGCGTAGTGAGTACCTTTTGGCGTTTTCCGAGCTGTAGGTTCCAGAGGACTGGCAGAGGGAGGGCGATGATGACGAGGTCAAACCCTAAACTGGTTCCTGCAAGAGCTGGAGGGTGTTAGTTAACCATCAGCCAGGTGAGTGGTGTTTATACGCACCATAGTATGACTTGAGGGTGTTGATGCAAGTCCCGGTAAGCTCAGAATCCCATTGCATTGCGATCTGTGGCCCGTCAACATCATCGCGTACTAGTATACTGGACTCAATGCCATACAGGTTTGCAGGGGAAGATAAAGAGGAAAGTGAAGATGATTTGATTGACCACTACGGCGGCAATCGCAACGATAATGATCGTTCGATACATCTTCACGAATCCGCCGATGCGGAGATACGACGCCAGTAGCGAGACCTTGAACCCCAGCAGGGACATCGAATATAGCGGGCCGCCGGCATATTGTATCTGGTGAGCCAACGTTAGAGCGTCTATACATGCTGCGGAAGCGCGGTCAGAAAACCACGACGCACCTTACTGAATTGCTTCACGTTGGCCGTAGGAAAATACTCGGCATGAAGGCCAAGACCCCATCGCGTTTCTGTAGCAGTTAGGGATCCATCCTCCTCCAACCGCCATGAAAGGCCACTCACGAAGTATGCTAGATGCACAGTATCCAGCGGTCATGATCGCACTGTACAGCGCGGCATAGTCATCCAGCCATAATGCTCTCTTTGTGTGGATTCGGATGTAGAACCGCAGGGCAACCGCTAGGAGGGCCGCGATCGTGAACACCAGCAATACGGCAATGACCTGGGAGATTTCGCTGTGTGGATCGGGCTTGTCGAGGTTATACACCCAGCCCATAGTGTTGGAGCAGTATCACAGCTCAGCAACGCATGTCAATCGCAGACTGGGGGCTAGGCCGGGGGATAAAGACACATCAACCTTGCACATTCTAAGAACGAAGCGGCTGTTCTACGGAGTAAATTCAATTTTTCCTTCTCATTTCCTACCAAGGATCAATAACAATCTCACTCTGCAGTAACTAGTTGCAGAAGAACGCCACCAGGAATTGCCCTCTCCACCACGAGGCCTACTAATTGTGCCCCCCCTGCAGCTGCCCAGCTGAGCCAGTCTTCTGGAAAGACGAGGGGCCCGAGTGAACGGCCCTGAAGGTTGGGATGCTGCTTGATGGGCCCCGTATTCTAAGTTTGACCGGTGTATGGGGCTATGGGTCGGATAATAATCTGGTCCACTGCATATTGATTAATGGTGCCGAGTAGTGGCCTAGCATTGCAGACTCGGACTACTTCGGAAATTCGTTACGAATAAATTGCTTCTCGTGACGCCGTTGACCCTATTTCTCGGCGTGTTTTGGTTCGGCACCCACGTGGATGATATGCGATCTGACTACAGAGTATAGGAATTGAGTACAATAGGCAAAGGGATATGAAGCAATCAGTCTATTATGCAACACATATACGGAATCCCAAGCTGGCCGTCCACACCAGTCTGTGTACTGTGCACGCAGAACCGCAAGGATCCCACAATACGGACCAAAGGCCTTGCTTAATAAGGACTCAGACCTGGAAGCTTGGCTAAATAGGAATTGAATTTGCAGCTGCGAGACATGCAAAGACACTACCGATGATATCCCGATTCCCACGTGACGAGATGCTCCCAATCGGGCAACAGGCATCAGTGGATGTGGAGAGAAAAAGTGGATTCTGACGTGATGCACCAAGTAGAAAAATCCGATCATTGCTTGTACCCTTGAACAAGACGCCAATCACCAAGAGGAAGGGCCTGAACCCAAGATCAAACCCATGGATGGATGATGGCAGTGCGCAGATCTGCACAGTGGCTCATCGAGACGGCGATCTAAGGTGGACTTGCAACCATGGTTTCGATGGGAATCTATTTACTGGGCTACGTATGCAAGGGCAGGATAAGCGCATCGCCCATGGAAAAAGGTCAACCCTTGCCCTGGATAAGCTTTAAAAATACCCACGACAGGCGCCACGAGCGGAATGTGGCCACGGTCGACCTGCCAAATGCGTTTGCTCTGGAAAATGGTCCTGCGGATTACAAAATGCATATATTAACGGAACTACTGCAGGCTCCGTCCTCCGAGCAATGCCGTAGCCGAGGTCCAGCTTCTTATGTTCAATCAATCCCTTCTGCCTTCTGGAATCTGGCCTGATACTGGGAACCAATGCTGCCTCCATCGGATCTCCACATAGCATTGACCAGTTTTGGGGGCTGGAAACCATTGGTCGGAGACAAATTACGACATTGCTTTTCGGTTATGCAATCGATAAAACCTGCCGGACATTACGCAGGAACCTTCAGGGAAAGAATTGTGATTGACGTTGCAATTGACCCTAAGCATCGAGCTCCACCGTATCCACTAGCGGAGAAAGTCCGGTGAAACGCCGCCATTGGACTCCACGGATTGGTTTTCCCAAGAATGGGCGAAGAGAGACTGTGGATGATTGTCAATCTAAATAACTTTATAGCCTGGTCTAGTCTATTTACAGTTCCGTAAAAAATTCCACCACTCTTGTTTCCCCCCCGACTTAAACACTGCACAAACGGCCATCTTCACGAACGGTCCACTCGTCCGCCCCGACAGCGGTAGTGGCGTAGAAGAGATTGTCCGGGTCGTATTTAGCCTTGATCTTGCGCAGGGTAGCGTAGTTGTCGCCGTAGAAATACTTCTGCCAGTTGGGCTGACGGAAGTCGGCCTCGTTCAGGTACGCCCCAGAGTTCGGCGCGACCTTGGTCAAGGCCGGGATATAATCATTGGTCATCTTGTCCTGCTCGGCCAGCATCTCAGCTCGCGCATCCCACTTCCAGGGGGTGGTGAGGGTGGTGTGGATCAGGGTCTCGCGCCAGGCGGGCAGCACCGCGTTGTCCACATCCCCCACTAACGCCTTGGAAACATTCAGACCCACGCCGATAAACGTGGCGCCATCCTCGGTGATGTGTCTGTATGCGGCCGTAAGTCCGTCGTTGTTGTTTTCCACCACCGACCGGGGGATCAGCCATCCACCATACTGCGCGGTGCCCACCGCGATCGCGCCCTGCATGGCGGTGAATTCCTCCAGGTAGCTGTCGAACTGCTCGGAGTAGGTCGTGTATTTGATTCCCAGCTTGGTCAGTCCATCGGTGAACGGTTTCACGAGTGCCACCAGGTCAGCAACGGGGATGTTGGGACCGGTCAACGGCGTGATGAGGAAGCTGGTGTTGGTGAACATCCAGACGGACATGGCACCGGCGTCCACGACAGAGGGCAGGACGGTCTGCCAGAGCGAGACAGCCTCGTAGAAGGTATCCTGGGAGATGCCATCATTGGTGAAGCTCAAGTTGTAGCCCGACACAGGCGTGGCAGTGTGCGCCTTGGAGGTCAGCGACCAAGTGATACCATAGGTACCACCACCGCCACCGCTGAGCGCCCAGAAGAGGTCGGAGTATTCGTTGTCGCGAGTGGCGGTAATGAAGTTACCCTCGCCATCGATCACCTCCCACTCGAGCGCCTGGTCGGCGCCAAGTCCATACCGCGAGGACAGGGCCGAATGGCCTCCACCCTGGGAGTAACCTCCAGCAATTCCCACGGTGGGACATTCGCCGCCCACCACCTGGAGACCCGCCTTGTCACCGGCTGCGTACGCCTCTCCGCCTTGCACACCGGCGCCCATCTTGATGGCCTTGCCTTGGTAGTGCTTGTCCTTGTAGTCCTTGATCTCGATGTCCTTGAGATGGTGCATCCAGATGGCCAGCGCGCCGGCTCCGGTCGACTTGCCGTTGTAATCGTGGCCGGTATTACGGGGAACCACACGGATGTTATGTTCCTTCGCGAACTTCAGAGCCGAGGAGACATGTTCGGGCTTAGCCACATCGACAGCGTAAACCACGTAGTTACCGAGGGTGCAGGGCTTCGATTGAGGGTGGAAGGGATCGCAGGTTCCATTAGTGTACCAAGGAGCCATAATCGACGACGAGGTTTCATAGCTACGAAATTAGCGGAAGCGCTTCAGTGATTAGTACAAGGCGCAAACTTACTGAAGCTCCGGGTTTGTCCACTGCTCGCTGAGCGTCTTGCATTCAGCAGCGTTATAACTGGGGTCATGGCATGGTGTACCCAAAGGCACCGTGGCTACCAGGCGGCCGTCAACCGACTCGTTGAATTTGGCCCAGACATCCTGGGTCGGCCAGCAAGAATCACCAGGAAAGCAGCGACAGTTGGAGGCAGCGTTCGCAGAGCCGCGGCCAGGAGGCCCGTCAAAAGCGACAACCCTGTAGCTTGACCGAACATTTTGGTTGTGTCGAGGGGCGAAGGGATGGAATGCAAGGCAAGCCGGGGCGCGCTGTACCTTTATGATCCCTCACACGTAAAGTGGAACGCTATGACTGACTGGTCTAAGGCAACGCTACTCCTAAATCTAGTTCCTGATTCAGGTAAAACCTTCTGATGGGTCGCGCTCATGCCATTGGGTCTCCAATATCCACCGGAGACGAACTACTGTAACCTAAAGGACGCGGTGGAGCTAATAAATTGACCGGCTAAACGTGCGAGAAAAACCCGCTGTGCTCGAGCCTATCACACCCTATGGTGTACGCCGGAGTAATTCATTTTATAGTGCAATATAAGTTAATTATCAGTTTATCAAAAATTGAGTCCAGCCAAGTGGAAAATACCTCCTGCTGCTCACCGGTTCGCTTAGACTTTAGTCCACAGGCTCATGCACCGAATCCTCTCGGTCCCATCGCAATCGGTATTCCGGCATCAACAGTCCCGGCGACGGCGCTTTCTCGACGAAACGCCTCACTTCAGGGGTCGGAAAGATATATTGCAATGCCGTGAAGACCGCGGCACTAATTGCCGTGCCGGTGAGGAAGCAAATGTAGTAAATCTGGGTTAACCCCATGGGAATGGCCACGGTAGGATCGACATGGGCCACGAAACCAGGGAGTGAAGGAACCATGCCACAAAGCCACTGCTGTCGTCAGCGTAATTGTACAAAGCTCACGTATTGGAAATGGCTAACCGCCACTAGGGCCCGCCAATTCACCCCGTTGGTGTACCAGTAGATACCTCGATTGTCCCCGTGGCATGGAAACAGGTCCTCCACCTTGATCTTGCGCCGCATCACAGCGAAATAAGACGCTATCATTGACCCGACCATAGGTCCCAGAAAGATTGAGTAACTACTGAGAACTGCTAAGAATGTGGTAGCCGTGTTGACCAGCTTCCACGGATTGCATGCGATCGATACTAGGACTGTGATATAGGCACCGCGACGAAGGTTTATATATCTCGGAAACGTAGCCGCCATGTCAAACCCTATCATTGCGCAGAGGTTAGCTGGGCAAGAAATGTTAGCAATAACGAGGAATTCTAACCTCCTGCTAGTGCATTCGCTGGCACGTTCAATCCCATCTGCGACACACTCAGCGCAGCTCCTCCAAAGAACACGGCTACTCTGGAGCGCGAACCCCCATTGTCCATGACGGCGCTGAGCAGGGTGGGCAAATTCCACAGCGGCTGACCGTAGCGATTCTGCGTGGCTGCCGTGACCAGAATGCCGACGGTCGCACATAGAATGCTATAAAAGGGAAAGCTGACTAGTTGTCCGAGAATTGCCTCACGAGGTGTTCGTGCAAACCTTGTATAATCATTCTGATTCAGGATTCCAGCAGCTGCGCCGCCGATAGTACTCACGATACCAAACGCAATCTTCCATCCAGAACCGCCAGCTCCGGGCTCTGAGATCGTACTGCCAAACCCGCTGCTGTCCATACTGACCAGCGCCCAAATAAGGATAACGATCTCAAATACTACGATCGTGGCCGACGAGATATAGAAGAATATCTGCAGTTTGTGGGGACGGATATGCAGCACCGGCAAGGAGAGCACCATGAAGATGATGTACGCCACAAACTGTGCCGTGGTCATTCCTGTCGACTGAGGCATCTGATTCGGAATTCGACTTTCGAGAGATGGCCAAATTGCGCGCAGACAGACGTAGGTGCATTCCCCGCCAATCCATGCTTGAACCGCATCTATCATGCATGGTGAGTTACCTGCGGCTAGCATCGACAATGAGAGACCTACACCAGACTACAAGGTAAATGTCAGTCGAGTTCTAGCGATGCCAGTTGGGATGAGCAACTCACCGATGGAGAGTAAAATCCGGTTCCATAGAACAAATAGACTGCCATAAAGGCCCCAGACATACCTATTAACCAAAGGAAACCCGACTATGGATGTCAGTCCTGCTTGCTACAAGAGCTGTGGACTTACTATGGTAAAATATCCCCGGTAATGAGTTAATCACAAGTAGCCCGACGGCAATTATATTGCCAGCGACGATCGCAGCCAGCGACTGACGCCAGGTTAATCCCATGGCAATCAACGAACTTCCTATCATGTACACCGAGATATTTGAGCTGGCCAGAACGCCTGCTTTGTCAGAGTGTTCCCTCTCTGCAATGCCAGATGAGCATACAAAAGTTATGGAACGTCCAGAAATTCCAGGTTCTCCGACCTGCTTCGACAGGCTTAATGTCGTCGTTGATCCAACGGTTGGGGATGTTTGCTCCTTCATAAGGGACTTCGAGGTATCTGAGGATAGTATTCCCCATATTGATCAAAGCATATGAATGAATACCTGGTATCAGTAGGGTGACAGTGCAGGTAGATGTAGATAATCCCGGAAGAGAGACCAGAGGTTGTCAATGTGGGCAAGATGCTTGATTGGGGTCTTCTCGTGATGGAGACGCGCATCTGTTACACAGCGAAATAAGGACAGAATCTCGGTGTCCACTTGCAGGAAGCAAACAGGGTGAGGTCCTTGTCTATGCAGTTGTGATTCGCTATATTTCATGCTTCTTGCATCCGACATAACTTTTTGCATGAGGCACTAGTATCAGGGCTGCAGCCAGATCAAGACACTAACAAAAGAAATTACATAGCAAAGGCAAATGCTTAGAGGACTGGTCGGTCAAAGTGAAACCTTCTGGATACTGAGGGACGTCCGAGTGGTGTTGAGAACAGCCATATTATGGTCGAAGAGCTCAGCAATCGGCCAATATATAAAATATTGCCTCTTTGTCCTCTACCTCATTTATTCTTCTTCCCTCATTTTATTTCTCTTTCTTTTCTTTGCCCTTTATAGCCCCTAACCATCGCGAGGACATAGTAACAAGCAGCGGTTAAGATACAAAAGTGCTTCTCACTAGATTTCTTGGATGTATATACAATAGAACTAGATCATAGGTGCCGTGATATTTCCAAGAAGCCTCTAAATGAAAGCCGTCTGTATGTCTTTCAAAATATGCCCTAACTAATAATATATAGACTATTAGTACATCCATCTTATCTTCGTCTCCCGTGAGGGGTCAGCCGATTCCCCGCGCCCTAATCGACACGCCACTCGACCACCAGCCAACTTAATCTCTCTACCTCCAGCCATTAACTACATGACAACCTGCTTATTCTGAATAGAAGTGTATGTGCCGATTGCTCGACAGGAAGAATACCCTCCGACTGGAACAGCGAATGGCAACACCCTCAAGCGGAAACATTCCAAAAGTACTCATAAGCACGCCATAGCGAATACCAATTAATCGACACCTGTCTGCAAGGTTCACCCCAGATCAAAATGGCCAAGTATCGCATCGGCGTCGATGTCGGCGGCACCAATACCGACGCTGCCATCATCGATATCCTCGCTACTGGCTCTCCCTCGCGCGGTGTGTGCGCGTCCACCAAAACCCCGACGACCCTGGACGTGACATCTGGGATATATACTGCCATTCAGGATGTATTGGAGCAGTCCCATGTCGATAGACAGGATGTTGTTAGTGTCGCGATCGGCACGACGCATTTTGTCAATGCGGTCGTCCAGGCTGACTCGAGTCGTCTGAGTAAAGTCGCTGTCGTGCGGCTTTGTGGTCCCTTCACGAAACAGGTGCCGCCTTTCGCGGAGTTTCCATCCGATTTGAAGAGGATCGTGGGCGGTCCGGTGTTTTACTTGGATGGTGGTGCGTATTCTATCTTTGAGTCTTATATCGGGGCGTGGTACTGAGTGATAGTACCAGGTCTTGAAATCGACGGGCGCGAAATCGCACCATTGAATGTAGAGCAGATTAAAGCTACCGTGGATAGCATTCAAGATGCAGGCATCAAGATGGTCGCTCTTCTCGGCGTGTTTTCACCTTTGGATCACAATGGGATCCACGAAGAGACCTGTAAACAGCTCATGCTCGGCTTCGACCCCTCGCTATCCATCGTCTGTTCGCATTCGATCGGTCGCATCGGCTTCCTGGAGAGAGAAAACGCGACGATCCTCAATGCCTCCATTCTTGCCTTCGCCCGTAAAACGGTGCGAGCGTTTTGCAGCGCAATGGCCAAACTGCAACTCTGTTGCCCGTTGTATCTGACCCAGAATGATGGCACCTTGACTGATGCGGCCACAGCGGCTGAATTGCCCATCAAGACCTTCGCCAGTGGGCCGACGAACAGCATGACCGACGCGGCCTTCCTGGCCTCCCTGGATCGGGGTGGTTCTGCGAAACAAGCGGATCAGCAGGTGTTAGTCGTTGACATCGGTGGAACGACTACGGACGTCTGCGCGCTGCTTCCATCGGGCTTGCCTCGTCAGGCACCGAACTTCGTGGAGGTTGGAGGCGTGCGGACTGCGTTCTCAATGCCAGAGGTTCTGTCGGTTGGGCTCGGTGGTGGCAGTCGTGTGGGTGTGGATGAACAGACGGGGGTTGTCAGTGTTGGGCCCGAGTCTGTCGGCCATTATCTCACTACCCGTGCCAGAGTATTTGGTGGTGATGTGCTGACTGCAACGGATATCGTGACAGCATCTGGAAAGGCCGAGATTGGAGACCGCAGGAAGGTAGAAGACATTCCTGCGCAGGTTGTCACCAAAGCGCGCCAACAGATTCGGAAGATCCTCGAACGTGCTATCGACGGTATGAAGATCTCCAGCCAGCCGGTTGTGCTGCTGCTCGTGGGTGGTGGCTCAGTCGTTCATATGGACGCTTTGAATGGTGTCGCGGAGTGCATCATGCCGCCACATCATGACTCTGCGAATGCTGTTGGTGCAGCCATTGCTAAAGTAGCTGGGGAGATAGATGTGATTGAGTTACTAGAGGGCCGTGATGAGAAGAAGGTGCTCGAGGCTGCGAAGCAACGAGCTATTGATGCAGCTGTTGCTCGTGGAGCAGAAAAGGAAGCGGTTAGCATTGCTACAATCGAGAAGATCCCTCTTGCCTATGCTACGAACAAGGCGACACGGATTGTTATCAAGGCTATTGGGAACCTTGCCCCCGTGGATGTTGACCATGCACCACAGCCCAAGGCTCTAGAGGGGAATGTATATGACGAACTAGAAGCAAACGAGGAAGAGCCCATAGAGACGGACAAACCGCGTGAGACAGCTCATTTCGCGGCGAAGCCATCGCTCCAGATCGATTTAGATACATATAAACCCGACGTCCGCAACAACACATGGTACATATCCCCCGTCGATCTAGAGCTTATGGCCGCCGGCACAGGAGTCCTAGGAACAGGCGGTGGTGGTCCCTCGCGGATACAGTACCTCCATTGCCTCCAGTTCCTTCAATCTCCGGGATATGCGGGAAACATGCGGGTCGTCAAGCCTGCAAGCTTAAGAGACTCGGATGTATGCGTTATGGGCTCGTGGTTCGGTGCCCCTAGCGTATCCAGCGAGCGTCTCTCAGCAGGGACAGAACTGGCCCTCGCGATTGAAAGCTGCGCGCGCATTACCGGCAAGAAGGATTTCCACGCCATTGTCACAGACGAGATTGGAGGCGGGAATGGTTTATCGGCATTCCCCTCCGGCGTGATGTACGACATTCCGGTGGTGGATGGGGACTTGATGGGGAGGGCATATCCAACACTTGAGCACTGTGAGTTGTCTGACTCAACAACGCCACATCGACACCATGTGTACTAACATTCTAGGTACGCCATACGTCTATGGGCTCTCCGCCACTCCATGCGCTGTGGCAGATGGCAGAGGGAATGTATCAATCATTTTAGTATGATGGGCCCTATACACCTCCACACATACAACTGTATTCTAATCCCAACAGCACGCCGAAAGCAGCCGTCGCGCCGAGACAATGGCACGAAGTCAATGCGTTGATCTAGGAAACAAGGTCGCTCTATCGACTGCACCGCTTACCGGCGCGGAGACCAAGAAATACATCATACCGAACACCATCTCCCAGGCGTGGTACATTGGGAGAGCCGTGTATCGTGCTCGGCAATCAAAGGCAGACATGATTCAAGCTATTGTACACCCCACTCCTCGTTTCTCTACTTGGGTACGGGATTAACGCTAACCTGAACAGTTCGACACCTCGCCCGGAAAACTCCTATACACTGGCAAGGTCATCGATGTCAAACGAGATGTTAGCCGCGGCTACACAATGGGGTATTGTCTGCTTGCGCCTCTTAGTAGTGACGAACGGGAGACTGCTATTTCTTCTAGCTGTCGTGATGGTATGCTAGAGGAGAGTCGCTGCTTGGTTATTCCCTTCCAGAATGAGTTTCTCTATGCCGCTTATACGGACCCTGATGCTCCAGAGGACCTACCCAAGCAAGAAGTCATCTGTACTGCCCCTGATCTGATTTCGATACTGGGACATGATGGCGGGGCGATTGGATCGCAGGAACTCCGATATGGTCTTAAGGTTAATGTAATTGCAATGGCAGCGCATCCGCTGTGGACGACAAAAGAAGGACTGGGTATTGGTGGTCCGCAGGGGTTTGGATTGGATATGGAGTGGACGAAGTTAGGGGAGTACTGGGAGCCGAGGAGTGTGATTGATGAGTTCAATAGAGCTCAGTAGGTGTCAAATCGAACCTGAATGGTATATACTACTAGTACTTCTTTGAAGCGTCTACAGGAAGTACTATAAAGCACAAAGGTGGAACTTATTGCAAACGGGGATTAGTCATAGAGATATCTCATCGCACCTGATATTGAGCAACCCTAAGCCTCCAAACATGACAGAGCTTCGTAATAGATAAGTATAGACACCTCAACTATCCTAGCTAGATTTGGGTACCCGCCAGATATAGGATTTTATTGGCCACCTCGTGTCTTTTGTGGAGACACATGACTAGTGCTTATTCTTCTCTGGCTAAGCCATTCAGAGAAGGATCTACACTGTGCTCAAGCCTACTCTGCAGAATGCCAACCAATAACACTGAGCTCTAAGCCCCAGAATGGGGGGCGTCTCTTCTTTCTCTCCAGAGTAGTGATTGCCCAGCTCGGTCCGTCATTGCGCTATACACATCCAACATATATTGGGGGCCAAACACCGTCGATAAGAAAGTCAAGGTATAAAAGAGCATAGAGACGCAAATATTTGCTACGACTTATTTCTCTTTCCCAATCATCCTCTTTTCCCGTTTACCTGTGCGCACATATCTTAGAAGCGAGATGACACAATCCCATCCCAAACCCGATTACGATATCCTCATCGTCGGCGCCGGCTTCTCCGGCATCTTCCTATTATACCAGCTTCGCAAGCTAGGCTACAAATGCAAGATCTATGAGACCGCACCAGACCTTGGCGGAGTATGGTACTGGAACACC